CTCTAATGCGATCAGCGAAGGACGCCCACTCCTCTCGCGCGAGCGCCTGCCTCGTATCCGACCGCCCACGGCAACCCTCGCCACCGTGCCGGCGCTACATCGACACGTACACGGGATGGCTCTGCCGAATCCCTCCGGGTGGCCTCGGCAGAACCCCTCCTCCTCCTCCTCCTCCTCCTCCTCCTCCTCCTCCTCCTCCTCCTCCTCCTCCTCCTCCTCCTGGGTTCTCACCTCTGCGGAGACGGCTCGGCAGAAGCCCCTTGGCGGCGTCTCGGAGGCAGCGCTGCAGCGTGGCCGCGCGGCCTGGCCGCAGCGCCGCGCGTCTGCCGCGCTGCCTGGCAGGGCCCCTTCGGAGGCCTCTCGGAGGAGCCGTCGCGGGGCCTCCGTGGGGGCCTCGCGGGGCGGGCCTGTCTGGGGCGCCTCGTGGCCGTCTCGGGCGCCATGGACCTGCCGGGCCTCTCTGGAAGAGGCTGGGCGGAGACACCTCGGGGCGGCCTGGGCGTCTCTCGGGGCCCGCTCGGGGCCTTCTTCGGGCGGCCTTCGGGCCGTCGGGCTTCTGTGGGCTTTCCTGGGCGGGGCTGTCCGGGGCCGTGCCAGGGCCTTCCTGGGGCCGTCGGGGGTCGCCTTGGGGCCCCACCGGGGCCTCTCTGAAACAGCCAGAGGCCGAAGAGTAGAAGCAAGGGAGGCAGGACGAGTGAAACCCTTCCAGGCCCCTGATGGAGAACTCCTCGATGGCTTCGGTGGGAGCTTCTCGAGGCATTCCAGGTCGTCCTGGGGCTCGGGGACATCTTGCAGCCTCAAGGGTGCCCCTGGCTCGTCTTGGCCCAGTCTTGAGGCATCTTGCGGGTGCCTTGGGGAGGCTATTGGTCATCTTGGAGCAGTCTCGGAGCCGAGAAGCGCGCCAGAGCAGGAGCAAGTACGAGGAGCGAGCTCTGACGGGTTCGCGCGAGGAAGGGGGAGGGGAGCGCCCCCGGGAAGCTACAGAGACCCTTCCAGACGGCCAGCAGGGACTCCGCCACGCCCCAACAGACTGTCGGGACCAGTGGCGAACACACTCTGTCTGCGTATGTATTTCTGCTGCTGAACGTTCCAGTCTGTCCATGCAATTGGTCGTCTGACCTGCTACGCCTCCGCACCGTCGACCAGCCTTCTCTGTCCTGTTTTGGCCGCTTGGCTTACTTACGATTCGGCTGCCGTCCGCCACCGCTGCGATTGCTGGCCGCTGCTACTCTCTCTCTCTCTCTCTTCCTCTCTGTCTCTTTCTCACTCTCCCTCTCTCTCTCTCTTTCTCTCTCTCTCTCTCTCGTTTTTTTGTGTTGACAGGCTCTCTCTCTCTCTGTCTCTTTCCCTCCTCTTTTTCGCCCCCCTCTTTATGTGGACAGATTCTTAAAGCAGTGCTTGCACTTAGGGCCTCTTGCTTCTCTTCTCAGGAACCGGGCCCAGTTGTCCGTCCGGCCGGCTCGTGGCTGCCCGTCGCCGCCGCCGTCTTTTTGGTCACGAGCTTTGGCTGTGCGCGGCTCGCGCTTTGCAGCATTGCTTCGCACTGCTTCGCGCTGCTTTGCATGGCTCTGCATGGCTTGGCACTGCTCAGCATTGCCCTGCTTTGCTTCACATGGCTTTACCTTGCTTCACATTGGTTTGCATCGTCGCATACAAATGTGTATGTATATGCATGTGAAGTTGCTTTACATGGGTTTGCATCGTCGCATACAAGTATGTACGTATATGCATGTGTATATATGTATAGCAGTGGCACACTGCAGCGAGGATAGAGGAGGAAGAGGAGGAGCGAGAGGAGGAACGGGTAGGAGGAGAAGGATGGTGAGGATGGGGAGGAGGATGCTTGGCATTGCTTTGCGTTGCCTGGCTTGGCTTGGCATTGCTGTGCATTGGCTTGCATTGCTTGGCGTTGCTTTGCCTGGCATTGATTTCAGAAGCTTTTCTTTGCTCGGTAATTCTTTGCTTTGCCTTGAGTTGCTTGGCATTGCTGCGCGTTGGTTAGCATTGCTTTGTTTGGTTTTTCAATGCGTTGCTTAGCAGTACTACGCATTGCTTGTCAAGGGTAGGCATTGCGGCAGTGCTTGGCATTGCATTGCATTGCATTGCATTGCATTCATTGCGTTGCATTGCTTGCGTTGCTCGGCAGTGCGTTGCGTGGCATTGCTTAGCATTTTCTAGCATGGCTTGGTGCTGTTTTGTGTTGCTTGGAATTGCGTTGCTTCGTTTTGTTTGGTAGTGCCTTGCGTGGCGTTGTGTTGCTTGGCCTCGTATTGATTTCCATGGGGTTGTTTTGCTGGGTATTGCTTTGAATTGCCGTGCGTGGCTTTGCATTGCTTTGCTTCACATTCGATTGCCTTGCCGTGCTCGACATTGCTCGGCATTGCTTGGAATTCCATGGTCGTTTTGACACTGTATTGAGTTGCGCGCATTTCTTGGCATTGGTTTGCGTGACATTGCTCGGCATTGCTTGACATTTCTTGGCATTGCTTGCTGTTGCCCGACGTTGCTTGGCATTTCTTGGCGTTGCTTGGCATTGAATGGCATTGCGTTGCGTTGCATTGCCCTTGCTTTGCGATGCGTTGTATGGTTTTGCGTTGCCTCTCATTGCTTTACTTTGTACTGTTTGACAGCGCCTTGCATTGTTTTGTGTTGCTGCGCATCGATTTCCACGGCCTTGCGTTGCTTGGCATTGCTTTGCATTGCCTTGCATTGCTTCTCATTGCTCTGCTCCGCCGTAGTGTCCATCGAGTTGCTTTGCTTGGGGTTGATTTGCATTGCCTTGCATGTCTTGGTATTGCTTTAAGCTTGTAAGCGTTGCTTTGCTTGGCGTTGCATCGCGTTGCTTGCAACTGCTAGACGTTGCGTGTCAACGCTTGGCTTTGCTGCATTGCTTGGCATTGCATTGTTGACATTGCTTGCCATTGCGTTAATTGGCATTGTTTGATTGTGGCTAGCAATTATTCGCATTGTCTTGCGTTGCTTGGCATTGCCTTGCTTTGCCTTGCCTTGCTTTGTTTGGTGCTGTTGCATTGCATTGCCTTGTTTGGGATTGAATTCCGCTGCCTTGCTTTGCTACAGCAGAGGTACTTCGCATTGCTTGTCGTTGCCTTGCGTGGCATCTCCTGGCATAGTTCGGCATTGCTTGGCATTGCTTGGCATTGCTTGGAGTTACTCGGAATTGCTTGGCACTGCATTGACTTGGGTGCATTGCTTCGCGTTGCGTTGCTTGGCATGCCCCAGGCATTGTTTGGCATTGCTTGATACTGCTTGGCATCGCGTGGCATTGCTTGGCATAGCTTTGCATTGATTGACATTGCTTTGCGTTGCTGTGGGTTGCTTTGAACTGTGTTGCGTTGCTTGACGTTGATTTTATTCCCTACCTAGGCTCTGCCTAGAAGGGTTCTTACCCTGTAAGCTTAAGGGGCCGGGCAGTGGAAACCGCCCCGGGCGGTTCCCTCGGCATCCGCCCCGCGGTTCCCCCAGGATCCTGGGAGCTTCAGCTTTAGCTTTAGCTTTAGCTCAGGTTTAGCTTAGCTCTAGCTTAGCTTTAGCTTGGCTCTAGCTTAGCTTTAGCTTAGCTCTAGCTTAGCTTTAGCTTAGCTTTAACTTAGCTTTAGCTTAGCTTTAGTTTAGCTTTCACTTAGCTTCAGCTTAGCTTTAGCTTAGCTTTAGCTTAGCTTTAGCTTAGCTTTACCTTAGCTTTAGCTTAGCTTTAGCTTAGCTTCAGCTTAGCTTTAGCTTAGCTTTAGCTTAGCTTTAGCTTAGCTTCAGCTTAGCTTTAGCTTAGTTTTAGCTTAGCTTTAGCTTCAGCTTGGCTTTAGCTTAGCTTTAGCTTAGCTTTAGCTTAGCTTGAGCTTAGCTTTAGCTTAGCTTCAGTTTAGCTTTAGCTTGGCTTTAGCGTAGCTTCAGCTTAGCTTCAGCTTAGATTTAGCTTAGATTTAGCTTAGCTTTAGCTTAGCTTTACTGTTACTACTAATGCTGCTTTCCTAGGGGCTCCAACTCCTAGGTAGGGGCGCACTGGGATCATTTGCGTTGTTCGGCATTCCTTTGCTTGGCAGGATGTTCATTGATTTGCTTCCCTTTGTTTGGCATTGCTCTGCATTGTCTTGCATTGTTTTGCATTGCTGTGCTTCGCTTGGCATGTCTGCGCTCGAAGCAACACACAGTAACGCAACGCAATGTCAATCACTGCAAAACAATGTGAGGCGATGCCACGCAATGCCAGGGAATGCCAAGCAACGCAACGCGACGCACTGCACCCAATTCAATGCAATGCAAAGCGCGTCCAAGCAATGCGAAGCAATGCCAAGCAATGCCAAACGGTGCCAAGAAACGCAACGGAAAGCAATGCGAAGCATCGCAGAGGTAATGGAAATCACTGCCGAGCAAAGCACGGCAAACTAATGCAATGCCACGAAAGAGAGAAACAACGCCCAACAGAGGCACGCGAGGCAATGCCAAGCAACACAAGACAATGCCAATAACTGATAGCCACTACCAAACAATGCCAATCAACGCAATGACAGGCAATGCCAGCGAAGCAATGCCAAGCAATGCAGCAAAGCCAATCGTTGACACGCAACGCCTAGCAGTTGCAAGCAATGCAATGCATGCCCAGCAAAGCGATGCCAATCAACGCAAAGCAATGCGAAGCAATGCCAGCCAGTGTAAGCTAATGCCAAGCAAAGCAACACGATGGAAAGTAAGGCGAAGCACAGCAATGAAGCGCAATGCACGACTGTGCAAAGCAATGCCAAGCAAAGCAAGGCTGTGGAAATCGATGCGAGGCAATGCAATGCAAGGCGATGCACTGCCAACCAATGCATCGTAAAGCAATGCGAAGCAACGCAAAACAATACAACGCATCGCAACGCAAGGGTAATGCAACGCAATGCCATGCAATGCCGAGCAATGCCAAGTAATGCCAGTCACTACCAAGCAATGCCAATTAATTCCACGGAATGCCAAACAAAGGAGTGACAAGATACTCAAGCAGCTCAATGCAATGTCAAGCACGACCAAGCAGTTCCAAGAAATGCCAAGCAGTGCTAAGCAAGGCAAGGCAACCACTACGAAGAAGGGCAACGCAATGCAACGCCTTGTATGCAAGGCAACACAATGCCCAGCAAAACAACCCACTGAACATCAAGATGAAGCAAAGCAATACTACGCCATGCAAGGCGACACAAAACAAAGCGAAACAATGTAAAGTAAAGCCAAGCAACGCGACCCAATGTCAAGCAATGCTCGGCAATGCCAACCAGCGCACAGCAATGCAAAGCAACGCAAGGCAAATTCACGCATTGCCAAGCAAAGCAAAGCTGTTGAAATCAGTGCCACGCAAAGCAATGCCAAGCAATACGTGGCAATGCAGAGCAATGCCAAGCCAAGCCAAGCAATGTAGAGCACTGCCGAGGATCCTCCTCCTCCCCATCACTCCTTCTCCTCCTCGTCCTCCTCCTCCTCCTTCTCCTTCTCCTTCTCCTTCTCCTTCTCCTGCTCCTCCTCTTCATCCCTAATCAAGTGTATTGCGCTCCATATCCTTGTCCTCCGGCTTGGAGCGGAGAAAGGACGGACTCGAAGGGGACAGGGCGGGAGCTCGGGAGAGCGGGGGAGCGGGGGAGCGGGAGAGCGGGAGAGCGGGAGAGCGGGAGAGCGGTAGAGCATCAGAGCAGGAGAGTGAGAGAACGGGGGAGCGGGGGAGCGAGAGAGCGGGAGAGCGGGAGAGCGGGAGAGCGGGAGAGCGGGGTGGGGGCCGGAGGGGGGCTGGGGCGGGGTGCGGTCAGTGCAAATTGGACGCTGATCGTCTCCATCGCTCTCACGCCCTCCCGCTTCCCGCTCTCCCGCTCTCCCGCTCTCCCGCTCTCCCGCCCTTCCGCTCTCCCACTCCCCCGAGTGCCTCCGAGTGGAAATCAAGGACGCGAACCAGCTGAGGTGGATCACAGGGGGGGACGACCATATACATGCACACATACAAATACACATATGTCTATGGATGTTTATATACATAGACATGTATGTATGTATGTATGTATGTATGTATGTATGTATGTATGCATGCATGCATGCATGCATGCACATGTATGTATGTATGCATGCATGCATGCACATGTATGTATGCATGTATGCATGTATGCATGCATGTATGTATGTCTGTCTGTCTGTATGTATGTATGTATGTATGTATGTATGTATGCATGCATGCATGCATGCATGCATGTATGTATGTATGTATGTATGCATGCATGCATGCATGCATGTATGTATACATGCATGTATGTATGCATGCATGTATGCATGTATGTGTGTATGTATGCATGTATGTATGTACGTATGTTATGTTATGTTATGTTATGTTATGAAATGTTACGGTATGATATGTGATGTGATGTTATGTTATGGTATGTTATGTTATGTTATGTTATGTTATGTTATTGTATGATATGTTATGTTATGCCTACATGCATGTAGGTAAATAAATGCATACACATATGATCAGATGTGGTTACATGTATATAAACACATGCTCTCTATCTCGTTCTCTCTCTCTCTCGCTCTCTCTTCCTCTCTCTCTCTCTCTCTCTCTCTTCATACAGATGCATATATAAAACTACATCTGCACATGCATCCTTGCTTGCAGACCTGTCGTGGACCATGGATGGCTGGCTCACTTCGTCCGTGCACGCGGTGCCTCCCGCCACCCGGATGCTGCGCGACGCGCGGCGCGCGGACCCCGGCGCCCAGGAGGGACACGCAAAGGCCGTGGCCCTGCTTCTGCAGAAGCGCGCGAACGTGGACGCGAAGGAGCGCCCTGCGGGCCGGCGGGGGGCAGGGAGGCACTCGAGGGCTGAACAAGGACAGGCGGGCCCGTGGAGTGAAGATGGGGCAGGGCGGTGCTGGAGAAGGGCCCTCCAGGTCTCTCGAGTGGGGCCGGGGCAGATGGGGTCGGAGTGTCGAGCCGCATCGCCGATTCATCGGCGACGCGGCTCGATGTGGAGCCCGACTTTCTCTCCACGCCGACGTCGACGCTGCATCGCCGACGTCGCCGCATCGCCGCTGCATCAGCGATGCATCTGCGATTTTGGCGCGTTCCTCCGACCCCATCTACTCAGACCGCGCTCGGGAGGCCTCCAAGGGAGAGAGGGGGTGTTGGGCAGATGTAGGAACATAGACAGTGCAAGGTGCAGCGCAGGGTGCAGCGGCAGGGAGAAAGCGGACACCAGGGCACGCGGTGGGAGCTGCGCCGGCGGCGGGCTCGGCTCGCTCCGAGGCGGGCTCTGCTGCGGTTGGGCGAGCGGCTCGGCGTTGCCTCCGGGCGGCGCTGTGAGCGCGATCAGCCGCTTCGGGCGCAGATCGTGTGCAGGGGGTCCGCATATCTCGAGGACGTTGGCGCTCCCCGTGCTCCGCACGCCCTTCGAGGAATGTCGTCGCAAGGTCCTCTGGCCTCCCGCGGGAGCGAGCCCGCAGCTCGGCGCCTGCAGGCGTGTGGGCTGGATGTCCCGTGAGGCTCTCGAGGTGTGCCGTGTTTGATCCACGGGAAGTGGTCGGACGGAAGGGGGGGCCAGAGAAGCACAGATGAGGAATGTGAAGGATTTGTTCCATGGAGCCTGCATTTGGGCTGTTGTTTCCCGCGGAGGATTCCATCCGAGCGCGAGCCTGTTTTTTTCTATTCTGGGGCGACAGCGGCCGTCATCTGGGGGTGGGTGGGTGGGCCGATGACGTCACGTTTCGCGCCTGCGGCGTCTGGGAATGCTGAGCGATGACCGAGTCCAAGTAGGAGCAGCATGTAGGTGGCGATCTGCACCACAGCGCTTGTGTACACAGTGCCTGCGTGCACCATAGCGCCTGTGTGCACCACACCGCCTATGTACACCATAGCAGTCGTGTGCAACACAGCACCAGTGTACACCACAGTGCCTGCGTGCACCACAGCGCCTGTGTACACCACGCTGCCTGCGTGCACCACAGCAACCGTGTGCAACAGAACACCATTGTTGCATACAGAGTTTTAGAGGGAGTTCTTATGACAAAATGGAGCGCTTGAGGATTTCACAGAAAACAATTGTTTTATATAGGATTTGCAGAGGAATCCTTATGGTAAAAGGAGCGCCGCGGGAATCTACGAGTCTCCCGCGTCCTCCCGCATCATCCTAACTCGTCCCATCTGCGTCCAGGAGGCCCGCAGAATTGGCCGTCCGAGAACCAAGTGGATTGATTCAATCGACCATTCTGCGGTGCACACTGCGAGTGCGCACGTGCGCGGTAGCGCCGACTCGCACGACGGGGGGAAGGGTGAGGGAGGAGGAGGAGGAGGAGGAGGAGGAGGAGGAGGAGGAGGAGGAGGAGGAGGAGGAGGAGGAGGAATAGGATGAGGGAGGAGGGAGGAGGGAAGAACATCGTATTCTATTCTCAGCACTTCCCTTGCTTGGTGTTTAGCTGTCTGCAGCAGATTCTCACCGACATGATCTGTCTACCTGTCCTGTGTACGCAAGCGCTGTAGAGTACACCAGCGCTGCGTTGCACGCGGATGCTGTGGTGTACACAGGCGTTGCGGTGAAACACTGTGGTACACAGGCGCTGTGCTGCACATGGTTGCTGCGTTGTGCACATTCGCTGTGGTGTACGCAGGCGCTGCGGTGCACGCAAGCACCGTGGTGTACACAGGCGCTGCGTTGCACACGGCTATTGCGGAATACTCAGGCGCTTCGGTGTACACGCGCGCTGCGGTGCATCCGAGCACTGGTGTACACAGGCGCTATGGTGCAGATCGCTACCAACCTGCTGCTCCTTCTAGGCCCCGGTCATCGCTAGGCATTCCCGGACGCCGCCGGCACGGAACGTGACGTCATTTGGGGGGGATGGGCGGGGCTGGTGACGGCCGCTATCCCCGAAATCTGCAAAACAGGCTCCACTCTGAACGCTCTGAACCTTCCTACTCTCCCTCCTCCTCTTCATCCGGCGTGCCAGCGATCGCTTTCACGCCTCACCCGCACATCTTCACGTGATCGCTCACACGCCTTGCCGACACGTTTGCCTAGTCCCCCTTCCTCCTCTTGGAGCTCCTCCCCATCCCCTTCTTCTTCTTCTTCTTCTTCTTCCCGTTCTCCCCAGCCGATTTTTCAATTTTAATCCACTGTGGGGCCCCAGCACTTCCTCAGGGCTGTTGTTTCAACCCGAGTCTTTTCTGACAGTCCCTGGGCCCAGTAAGGGCCCCTGGAGGCCGAAGACGGCCAAGAGCCTCCCGCCTTTTTTCCGCGGCGCAAGCATCTCTGGGTCCTTTCCTCCTGGGGGTGATGAGGAGTTGCGCGTGCGCCGTTGGGCCGTGGGAGCTTGCTGCGCGTGACTCTGCCTCCCCGTCCGCGCACCGCCAGTGCGCCAGACGTGTGCGCTCCGTCCGTCCGTCCTTGTCGTCGTCTTCCTCCTCCTCCTCCTGCTTCTGCTCTTTCTCCTCCTCGTCCTCCTCCTGCTCTTTCTCCTCCTCCCGAATACTCAACCCCCGGCCATCTCCTGGGGTGCGTTCTGACCCGGATTCCGAGGAGAATCAGGCCGCGGCGACGAGACCCCCCCGCCCCAGAGGGGGCTCCAGAAGTTGCCAAAACTTCCAAGAACACATACCTTCGAGCCTCGATCCCGGGCCCGTGAACGCCGTCCAGTCAGCCAGCCATGCCATAGCCAGAGCGCGTGGGCAAATCAAGAACATAGTGCGCGCAGGCTGGAGCCTCCGCTTTGCAGCTGCGGTGGCGGTGCCTGCAGGCAGAAAAGAGACGCTTAATCTACGTAAGTCGCTCAGGAATGCGCGGGAGACAGGAGGAGGAGGAAGAGGAGGAGGAGGAAGAGGAGGAGGAGGAGGAGGAAGAGGAGGAGGAGGAGCAGGAGGAGGAGGAGGAGGAGCAGCAGGAGGAGCAGGAGGAGGAGCAGGAGGAGGAGGAGGAGGGAGGAGGAGGATGAGGAAAAGGCGATGGATGGATGGATGGATGGATGGATGGATGGATGGATGGACGGCGCCATAAAGGTCGAGAGGTGAACACACCAAAAAAACAGTAAAGAGAGATGAATACCATCTATCCCTCAGAGAGGTGCTTCGCGTCCTCCTTCTCCTCCTCCTCCTCCTTCTTCGGAAGAGGAGGAGGGAAACCATGAGGATGGAGGATGGAGGATGAGGGGGAGAGGAAGAGAAGGGGGAGGGGGAATGAAAGGGAAGCGCAGAAATTTCCCCGCTGTTCGGGAGCCGCCGGCAAGGACGAGGACGGGATGACCCCCCTGCACTTCGCGGCCTGCGGGGGCTGCCGGGACTCGTGCGAGGCCCTGTTGCAGGCCGTTGGCTGGGCGCCCCCCCCCTGTGGCTCGTAGCGCCGAGGCCGGCCCGAGAAGCAAGAGAGGGAGAGATGTGGAGGGAGGAGGAGGGAGGGCTGGGGTGAGGGGATGGAGGAGCGAGGCCTGGGTGAGGAGGAGGAGGATGAGGAGGAGGAGGAGGAGGAGCAGGAGGAGGAGAGCAGGAGGAGGAGGAGGAGAGGAGGAGGAGGAGGAGGAGGAGGAGGAGGAGGAGGAGGAGAGGAGGAGCAGGAGCAGGAGCAGGAGGGAGGAGGAGGAGCAGGAGGAGGAGGAGGAGGAGGAGGAGGAGGAGGAGGAGGAGGAGGAGGAGGAGGAGGAGGAGGAGTGGGAGAAGATGGCCCTCCAGGGATGCCCCGCCAAAGCGAGGAGGGTCTCGGAACATCATACTCCTTACACGGTTTCGTGCCCCTCCCACCCCTCCAGCAGGGAGGCCCCGCCAAAGCGAGGAGGGTATCGGAACACCATACTATTTACACGGAGTCGTGCCCCTCCTGCCCCTCCAGGGAGGCCCCGCCAGAGCGAGGAGGGTACTGGAACACCAGACTATTTACACAGAGTCGTGCCCCTCCTGCCCCTCCAGGGAGGCCCCGCCAGAGCGAGGAGGGTACCGGAACACCAGACTATTTACACGGAGTCGTGAGGCTCGACCAGAGTGAGCATGGTGTCGGAACACCACACGTTTTGCATTGTTTCGTGCCTCTCCCGCTTCTCTAGGGATGCCTCGCCAGAGCACCATTGAGGCCCTTGACACAGCCCACTGAGGCCCCGAGCGCACCCACAGAGGCACCACCACGTTGCCCACTCAGGCCCCTCACGCATCCCACAGAGGCCCCGAGTGCGCCCACAGAGGCCCCGCCACACTGTCCACTCAGGCCCCTGACGCAGCCCACTGAGGCCCCGAGCGCGCCCACAGAGGCCCCCCACTGTGACATCCTTTCGTGGGGAACTCCAGTAGCACAATTTTGATGATGGTAAGATTGATGATGGTAACGAGGTCAATGAGGATGATAGCGAGGTGGAGGATGAGAGGGAGGAGAAGGCAGGAGGAGAGGGAAGAGAAGGCAGCAGGAGGAGGAGGAGTACGAGGAGGAGGAGGAGGAGGAGGAGGAGGAGGAGGAGGAGGAGGAGGAGCAGGAGCAGGAGCAGGAGGAGGAGGAGGAGGAGGAGGAGGAGGAGGAGGAGGAGGAGGAGGAGCGAGGGGTATCGCATACCGTTCGGCTTGCCCAGACCTCGTTCTTGGAACGTTCTGCATTGAGTTACGAGTTGGAGGAGGGGTGCCGACGGGAGATGCCAGAGTGTTCGATCCCATAGGGAGTTCTTCGTGTCGATGGCCCAACTTCCATGTCAAATTGGTTCTGCTCACGGGTCTTCTGTAGCGTTGCTGTGGCCAGCGGACGGTCGAACGGAATTTGTTTTCGGGCAGGCGGCCTGGGGACATTCTGGGCTGGCCGTCCTTCCATACTTGAGGGGGAACACGCGCGCAATGGTTCTCCTTCCCCCTACTCCGCAGGCAATGCTCGCCTTTTATTTTTTTCTAGACAGCGAATGCATGCTGTATGTGGTCTCGATGATTTCGTGGGAGCCCGCTTCCGCGACGCAGGCCGCGAAACGTGTGACGCCGGCGCGTCTTGCCGCGCCGTGCCGTGCCCGCGTGCCGCTCTGTGCGGTGCCTGGGCTCCCGCATGCGGAGGGTGTGCCGTGCCCTCTGGGTGTAGACGGCAAGACGTGTGCCGCGCCCTGCGGTGCCCGCGTTCTGTACCGTGCCGCACCTATAGCTTCGGGTTGTAGGGGGTTCAAAACGTGCCGCGCCGTGCCGTGTCGAGGCTCCAGAGTGCGAAACATTGTGCCGTCCCGTGCGAGGCCCGCGCGCCGTGCCCCGCGTGCCGTGCCGTGCCCAGGGCCCGGGCTCTGGCGTGCGCGGGAGCGCGGGCCGTGCCGTGCCGCCTCCACGCCGCGCCGCGCCTCGCCTCGGCTCTCCAGGGTGCGGCAGGTCTGCCGCGCCGTGGCGTGCTGTGCCGTGCCTGTGCCATGCCCGTGCCGTGCCCGCGCGCCGCGCCGCGCCGTGCGCGGCTTCTTGCGGCACCAGCCGCCCACACCAAGCACGCCCCCTCTCAAGATGATTGTCCTTATGTACGTGCGAGGATGCTTGCAGCGAGCTGTGCTCTGGGTCTCAGTATCCTCAAGAAAGGTAAAGAAGACATGCTGACCGATGCAACGCCTATCCCAAGGACAAAGCGATCACTTGCATGGACGGCACAATGACTCAACATGTATGAGATTATCCCTTAAGTGACAAGATACTCCATTTCAACTTTTCTCTCTCTGATGTCGAGCCACCGCGTGCGTTTTCGTGCGGGGCCTCCTTCGCTGGCCTCTGTGTGCCCACTTCGCTCTGCAGCAGCCTTTGCGGTAGCCACGACCGCGGCTTGGGGGTCCAGGGCGCCGCCGGCCAGGAGAGCGCTCCCGTGCGGCGCTGCCGTGCGGGATCTCTGTCTGCACCGTGCCGTCTTCCGCCCTCGGGGGAACTCGGCGACCCGCGCGGCGCGGAGGCCTCGGTGCCGCCACGGGGCCCCGCCCACGGGCTGCGCGGCAGGGGTCGCCGAGTCTTCGGTGCGGCCACCGGGGCCCGCCCACGGGCCGCGCCGTGGGCGGGGCGGCTGGCTCGTCGGCGCGGCGGCCGCGAGGGCCCGCCCACGGGTTGCCCAGAGAGGCTCCGCTGATGTAGCCATTCTCACGGGCGCTACCGCGACACGAATGATACGAGATTGTTTTGTAGAGCCCATGCCCGTTCCGTGGTACTTCCGTGACTTCCGTGCTTTCGCGGCCGTCGCGCTTTTCTTCATTCTTTTTCCAAGTCCCCGCTATGATGACAACGGGCCGCGAAGTGGAACGGAAGCGGAACGGAAGTGGATCGGAAGATGAAGGGGAGTGGAACGAAAGCAGAAGCTTCAGGGTATCGCGAAAGGCTCCAGTGAACGGCAAGGTAATCTATCTTTTGGACGTGGCCAATTTCAGAGGGGTCCTTGTCTTCCGACGGTGTTACGGGTCGATCTCTCGCCCTCGGCGGGAGCCTGGCGGAGGGCGAGGGTGGCTTCCCTGGTGGAAGCTGGGAGGAAGCCTGCGGAAGCAAAGCCACAGGCCTGAGAAGGATCCGCGCCGCCCTCAGGTCGGGGGACGCAACCCATCCATCGACGGCGATCCTGGCCAGGCCAATCCTGGGCCTAGGACCAGTGCAAGTTCTCCCCTGTGCCAGGAGCATATCCACTGATCCAGGGCCCAGGATGGGCTTGGCCAGGATCGGTCTTTGTGGATTGCCCCTGAGAGCCCGCGTCGCGAAAAAGTTGGGGGCATTTCGCGGCGTGGGGCCCCGGAGTTGTGTCTTCTTTTTCGTCTTCTTTCCGGGGTAGGCTCTAGGCGTCTCAAAGGGGGAGTGAAGCAACATCAACGTGGGACATGTTTAGTTCCGGGTGCTTCCTGAGGTGCAGGCGGCTGTCGGTCCAAAACCTTCTGTCGTTTTTTCCAACCATTCTGTGGTGTTGGGTTCTCGTTTTGAAGAGACGGCGCCCCGCGTCCACTCCTCACTCACTCCTCCTCCCTCTCCTCCCATTCGGCACACCCCTTACACGCTTCCTGGCCTCATAGGGAGCTCCACCGAAGGTCCCAGTGACAGGGTTCGCATGCAGTTCCACCTTCATATCGGCGCACCCCTCACACGGTTCGTGGCTCCATAGGGGGCTCCACCGAAGGCCCCAAGTGGCAGGGTTCGCATGCAGTTCCATTTTGATTTCGGCGCACACCTCACACGGTTCGTGGCCCCATAGGGAGCTCCACCGAAGGCCCTGGTGGCAGGGCTCGCATGCGGTTCCACCCCCGTTGCGGCACACCCCTCACACACTCCGTGGGCCCAAGGGGAGCTCCACCAGGGGAACGAGTGTCATCGTTCGCATGTGGTTCCACGCCCTTGTTGGCACACCCCTCACGCGTTTGACGAAACAACCCATAGGGAGCTCCACCGAAGGTCCCACTGGCAGGGTTCGCATGCGGTTCCAGGCGGATAGGGGGAGAGGGGAGGGCTGCTCAGGAGCACCCCTGCTTCTAAGAAGCCTTCCTCCCTCCCCTATACCCCCTTGTGCGCGCCGTCAATCTTGGTTCCTGGTTTCCCAGGCCTCGGTTGCGTGCTTGGTTACCCTTGGTCCGGGTTCTTTGGTTCCTTGGTCTTGGTTCCATGCTGTCTCGCCACAACGTGGTTATGCCAAGCAGTGCCAGGGACACATGTCGTGACCCCATAAGGAGCTCCGTCGAAGGCCCCAGTGGCAGGGTCTGCATGCAGTTCCAACCCCATTTCGGCACAACACTCACACGTTTCGTGGCCCCACAGGGAGCTCCACCGAAGGCCCCAGTGGCAGGGCTCGCATGCGGTTCCATTCGGAATTTCGGCATACCCCTCACACGGTTCGTGGCCCAGTAGGGAGCTCCACCGAAGGTCCCAGTGGCAGGGTTCGCGTATGGTTCCACCCCAAATGTCAGTACACCCCTTACACGTTTCGTGGACCCATAGGCTATTCCGCCTAATTCCCCAGTGGCATGCGGTTCCACCTCCATTTCGGCATACCCCTCACACGGCTCGTGGCCTCATAGGGAGCTCGACCGAAGGCTTCAGTGGCAGGGTTCGCATGCGATTCCACCCTTCTTCCCGCACACCCCTCACACGTTCGTGGCCCCAAATAGATCCACCGAAGGCCCCAGTGGCATTGTTCGCATGCGGTTCCACCCCCATGTCGGCACATCTCTCACACGCTTCGTGGCCCTACAGGGATCTCCACTGCAGACGATATTCACGACTGCGGCACCCACAACTGCATATGGTTGGGTCCTTCGCCAGGATAACTTTTCGACGCGAGATATCTGCTTTCTTGCTGCTTTTTCCTGCCGCGACGCCCGAAGCCGGCCGCATGCGGGCCAGGCTACTGCCAGGGCCTCTGGCGCTCCCCGCCCCGCCGCGCCAGGCTGGAGCAGACGCGCGCCTGAGGGACGATGGCGCCGCCGCCGCCGCCGCCACCCGCGCAGGGGGGGCGGTCCCTGGCTGCCTCGCGGGCTCATCGGCCTCGGAGTCTCGAGGGAGGGGCAGACGAGGAGGGAGGAGTGAGGAGGGGGGCGTTTTCGGTTCTCGGGCGTTTCTTTGTCGGTTCACGTCGGGCTTCAGCCTCGGGACGGTTCTAGCAGCTGCGCCTCGCCGAGGGCGTTCCAGGGGTGCCTGGATCGTCCCGAACACAGCCGCCGGAGAGCCGAGTTGTGGCCCGAAAACCAAGGGCAACGTCAGGCCCTGAGATCCGGGCGTTGCAATTTTTCCCAAGCATCCTGTGGTGATGGGTCCTCGTTTTGAAGAGACAGCGCCCCGCGTCTCCCATCCCCCCTACCCCCCTGCTCCCTCCTCCCATCCCTGCATCCGCCCTTTGCATACCCTTTTTCGGCGCACCCCTCACACGTTTCGCGGCCCCACAGGGAACTCCACAGAAGGCTCAATTGGCAAGGTCCGCATGCGGTTCCACCCCCGTTGCGGCACACCCCTCACACATTCCGTGGGCCCACGGGGAGCTCCACCGAAAGCACCAGTGGCAGGGTCCGCATGTGGCATCCCCCCTTACGGCGCACCACTCGCACGTTCCGTGGCCTTCTGGGGAGCTCCACCGAATGCACCAGTGGCAGGGTCCGCATGCGGCTCCACCCCCCGTTGCGGCGCACCCCTCCACTATGGGCACCAGTGGCAGGGTCCGCATGCGGTTCCACCCCCCTTTACGGCGCACACCTCGCATGCTTCGTGGCCCCATACGGAGCTCCACCGAAGATGCCAGCGGCAGGGTCCGCATGCGGTTCCACTCCCCCTTGCGGCGCACCCTTCGCACGTTTCGTGGTCCCATAGGGAGCTCCACCGAAGACGCCAGTGGCAGAGTCCGCGTCTCGGTTCCACCCCCCCATTGCGGCGCACCCCTCGCTTATGGTTCGCCCGAATAACTGTTGTTTCGCACCGGGCGCTCTCGCTCGGTTCTGGGCCCCAGGGCCATCACGTATCGATCCGACTCACAGAATGCAGCAGAAAGATGAGGTCTAGTGTTATGTCGGTCGTGTCCCCCTACGGGGGGATTTTCGACGAGAAATAAGAAATACCCCCCAAATGCCCCAAAGAGGTAAAAAAAACAAAATAGTCCCCAGATTGTTTTTTTGTTATTTTTGGATTATTTCTGGGGTATTTTTTATGTTTCGTCGAACATCCCCCTGTAGGGGGACGGGCCCGACTCAAGTCTAGTGTTTGGGCCGTGATTTTCGGTGCTGTTGCAATTTGCCTCGGGGTCTGGAGGAGGGGGCGGACCATCCGAGGAGGAAAAGGCACCGGTACCATGACCCGTCCCTCGTTTTCGCCTTCTTGGGCCTCCTGGGAGGCCCTGGTTGCCTCGGCTGGGTTCTCTTCGAACTTCGGGTCAGAACGAACCCCCTGGGGAGAGGTCCAGGGAGTAGGGGTATCCGTACCTTTTTCTTTGAGAGCGCTCGAAAGCCCAGAGTTCGCTAGGGGTTGGTTTGCCCCAAAACGGCGAACGCCCTCCCGAAACCCATTCGAAACCTTTCCAACACGCTTCCTGGAGGGTTTTCGGAGGGTTTCGGGGGGGTGTTCGGCCGTCTTCAAGGGATACCAGTCTTCAGCGAAACCTGCATTTTCTCATCATAGCGTTTCGCTGGAGGGTTTTACTAATACGAAACAAGAGATCGCAGAAGAGTCCCACAGGGGGGGGGGGACGGGGAACCCCAGAACGCTGGTGTCGGCAGCCGTTTGGCATCTTGGGGCCACCTTAGCCGTCTTGGAGGCATCTTGGCCATCTTGAAGGCCTCTTGGGCTGTCTTGGGGCCCTCTTGGGGGCATCTTGGGGGCCTCTTGGGCCGTCATGGGACCATCTTGGAGACCTCTTGGGAGATCTTGGGGCGATCTTGGGGGCCTCTTGGGCCGTCTTGAGGTCTTCGGAAGGCAGAAAAGAAGCAAATGCCAAAATCAGTCAAACACCTAATACGGAAAACCAGTGATTTTGGCTTCTGCGGGCCCTCCTTGAGGACCTCTTGGAGGCGTCTTGGGGGGCTCTGGGGGGCCTCTTGGGCTGTCTTGAACCATCTTGAGGCTATCTTAGGCCGTCTTGGAGGCATCTTGGGCCATCTTGGAGGCATCTTGGGGCCATCTGAGCCGTCTTGGAGGCCATGTTGGCCGTCTTGGAGGCGTCTTGGAGGCCATCTTGGGCCGTCTTGGAGCCGTCTGGCAACCGGTGCCGGGCCGGGCAACCGGTGCCGGGCTATGTGGGCAATCTTTCCGGGTGGCCGGCGGAACGGGCCGAAGCCCCAGGGGGAGTTCTTTTGTGGCCGAACGTTGAGGCCAGACCTGTCAAGGTATCGGACCATGTGTTCCCCGAATCGGTTTGGAAAGCCTTCGGAGAACACGTGGGCATCTTGAAGGTCATCTTGGCCGCCTGGAGGCCATTTTGACCCTTTCGGGCCTTCTTGGAGGACGTCTTGGAGGCCTCTTGGGGCCGTCTTGGAGGCCTCTTGGGGCCGTCTTGGGCCTCTTGGGCGATCTTTGGGGGCACTTGGGTCGTCTCGGGCCGTCGGAAGGCCGAAAAAAGCAAATGGCACAATCCTTCAAAAGCTCATGGGAAATTAATTATTTTGGCCTTGTCTGGCTTTCCTGGAGGCCCTCTTGGAGGCCTCTTGGGCCGTCTTGGGCCAGCTTCGAGCCAACTTCGGCCATCTTGGTGGGCTCCTGGCCCATCTGACGCCGTGGGAAGCCGTTTCGGGGCCTTTCTGCGCCGACTTAGGGTCCTCTTGGGGTGCTCCAGGGCCGTCTTAGAGGCCATTTTGGGCGTCTTAAAAGCCTCCTGGGCCCTCTTGGGGGCCTCTTGGGGCCGTCTTGGGGGCCTCTTGGGCCGTTCTGGGGCCATCTTGGAGGCCCCTTGGGCGATCTTTGGGCGATCTGAGGGGGCTCTTGGGCCGTATCGGGCCGTCGGAAGGCCGAAGCGAAGCAAATGTCAAAATTCTCCAAAAACCTTTAGGACATCAGTGTTTTTGGCCTTTTCTGGCCTTCCTGGAGGCCCTCTTGGAGGCCTCTTGGGCCGTCTTGGGCCAGCTTCGAGCCAACTTCGGCCATCTTGGTGGGCTCCTGGCCCATCTGACGCCGTGGGAAGCCGTTTGGGGGGCCTTTCTGCGCCGACTTAGGATCCTCTTGGGGTGCTCCAGGGCCGTCTTAGAGGCCATCTTGGGCGTCTTAGAGGCCTCTTGGGTCGTCTTTGTGCCCTCTTGGGGCTGTCTTGGGGGCCTCTTGGGCCGTTCTGGGGCCATCTTGGAGGCCTCTTGGGCGCTGTGGGGGCCATCTTGGGGGCCTCTTGGGCCGTCTTGGGTCGTCGGAAAGCCGAGAAGAAGCGAACCCCAAAATCCTTCAAACATCCACGGGAAATCAGTCATTTAGGCCTCTTCGGGCCCTCCTGGAGGACCTCTTGGAGGCCTCTTGGGCCGTCTTGGAGGCCTCTGGGGGGCCTCTTGGGCCGTCTTGGGCCGTCTTGGACTCTCTTAGGCCGTCTTGGAGGCCGTCTTTGGACTATCTTCGGCGGACTTGGAGGCCATCTTGGACCATCTTGGAGGCCATCTTGGGCCAACATGGCCATCTTGGAGGCCATCTGGAGCCGTCTTGGAGGATTTTTTGGGGAATTGAGCTCCGTGGCAATCCTCCCGGGACCCCGGCGGAACGGGCCGAAGCCCCAGGGGGAGTTCTTTTGGAAAAAGAACCAAAACCAGAACCGAGAGGATCCAGCACGCCAGGCACCCCTGCCATGAATTGACAGGGGGCGGCGGATCGAAGACGCCTACGACGAATCACCGCCGCCCCCTGTCTTTTTGGAAGCGCCGGTGTGGCCGAACGTTGAGGCCAGATCTGCCAAGGTATCGGACCATGTGTTCCCCGAATCGGTTTGGAAAGCCTTCGGGGAACGCGTGGGCATCTTGAAGGTCATCTTGGCCGCCTGGAGGCCATTTCTGGTCCGGCGGAACGGGCCGAAGCCCCAGGGGGAGTTCTTTTGTGGCCGAACGTTGAGGCCAGACCTGCCAAGGCATCGGACCATGTGTTCCCCGAATTGGTTTGGAAAGCCTTCGGAGAACACGTGGGCATCTTGGCCGCCTGGAGGCCATGTTGACCCTTTCGGGCCTTATTGGAGGACGTCTTGGAGGGCTCATGGGCCGTCTTGGAGGCCATCTTGAGCGTCTTGGAGGCCTGTTGGGCTGTTATGGGGGCCTCTTGGGGCCGTCCTGGGCCTCTTGGGCGATCTTTGGGGGCACTTGGGGCGTCTCGGGCCGTCTGAAGGCCAAAACTAAGCAAATGCCACAATCCTTCAAAAACTCATGGGGAATCAGTGATTTTGGCCTTTTCGGGTTTTTCTGGAGGCCCTCTTGGAGGCCTCTTGGGCCGTCTTGGGCCATCTTAGTGCCATCTTCGGCCGTCTTGGTGGGCCCCTGGTCCGTCCGACGCCGTCGGAAGCCGTTTGGGGGGCCTCTCTGAGCCGACTTGGGGCCCTCTTGGAATGCTCCAGGGCCGTCTTGGAGGCCATCTTGGGCGTCTTAAAGGCCTCCTGGGCCGTCTTTGGGGGCCTCTTGGGGCCGTCTTGGGGGCCTCTTGGGCCGTTCTGGGGCCATCTTGCAGGCCCCTTGGGCGATCTTTGGGCGATCTTAGGGGGCTCGTAGACCGTCTCGGGCCGTCGGAAGGCCGAAAAGAAGCACATATCAACATCCTTCAAAAACCTAGAGAAAATCGCTGTTTTGGGTCTTTTCTGGCCTTCCTGGAGGCCGTCTTGAAGGCCTCTTGGGCCTTCTTGGGCCAGCTTCGAGCCAACTTCGGCCATCTTGGTGGGTTGCTGGCCCATCTGACGACGTCGGGAGCCGTCTTTGGGGCCTTTCTGGGCCGGCTTGGGGCCCTCTTGGGGCGCTTCGGGGCCGTCTTGGAGGCCATCATTGGCGTCTTGGAGGCCTCTTGGCCCGTCTTGGGGCCCTCTTGGGGCCGTCTTGGGGGCCTCTTGGGCCGTCATGGGGCCATCTTGGAGGCCTCGTGGTTGATCTTGGGGCGATCTTGGGGGCCTCTTGGGCCGTCTCGGGCCGTCGGAAGGCCTCAATGATTTTGGCCTCTTCGAGCCCTCCTTGAGGACCTCTTGGAGGCCTCTTGGGGCGTCTGGGGCCGTCTTGGAGGCATCTTGGGCGAACGTGGAGGTATCTTGGACTCTCTTGGGCCGTCTTGGAGGCCGTCTTGGACCATCTTGGGCGGACTTGGAGGCCATCTTGGACCATCTTGGAGGCCACCTTGGGCCAACGTGGCCATCTTGGAGGCCATCTTGGACCATCTTGAGCGAACAATTGTGGACTTGAGCTCCTTTCCGGTTGGCCGGCGGGACGCGCCGGAGCCCCAGGGGGAGTTCTTTTGGAAAAGAACCAAAACCAAAACTGAGAGGGTTCAGCACGCCGGGCAACCCTGTGGCAAGCCAACAGGGGGCGGCGGATCGAAGACGCCTACGGCGAATCACCGCCGCCCGCTGCTTTTTTGGAAGCGCCTGTGTGGCCGAACGTTGAGGCCAGACCTGTCAAGGTATCGGACCATGTGTTCCCCGAATCGGTTTGGAAAGCCTTCGGGGAACACGTGGGCATCTTGAAGGTCATCTTGGCCGCCTGGAGGCCATTTTGACCCTTTCGGGCCTTCTTTTGGAGGACATCTTGGAGGGCTCATGGGCCGTCTTGGAGGCCATCTTGAGCGCCTTGGAGGCCTCTTCGGCCGTCTTCGGGGCCTCTTGGGGCCGTCTTGGGCCTCTTGGGCGATCTTTGGGGGCACTTGGGCCGTCTCGGGCCGTCGGAAGGCCGAAAAAAGCAAATGCCACAATCCTTGGAAAACTCATGGGAAATGAATTATTTTGGCCTTTCCGGGCCTTCGTGGAGGCCCTCTTGGAGGCCTCTTGGGCCGTCTTGGGCCACCTTAGTGCCATTCGACCGTCTTGGTGAGCCCCTGGTCCGTCCGACGCCGTCGGAAGCCGTTTGGGGGGCCTCTCTGAGCCGACTTGGGACCCTCTTGGAATGCTCCAGGGCCGTCTTGGAGGCCATCTTGGGCGTCTTAAAAGCCTTCTGGGCCGTCTTGGGGGCCTCTTGAGGCCGTCTTGGGTGCCTCTTGCGCCGTTCTGGGGCCATCTTGGAGGCCCCTTGGGCGATCTTTGGGCGATCTGTGGGGGCTCTTGGGCCGTCTCGGGCCGTCGGAAGGCCGAAAAGAAACACATATCAAAATCTTTCAAAAACCTAGAGAAAATTAATGTTTTTGGCCTTTTCTGGCCTTCCTGGAGGACATCTTGGAGGGCCTCTTGGGCCGTCTTGGGCCATGTTCGAGCCAACTTCGGGGCCAACTTCTTCGGCCTTCTTGGTGGGCTCCTGGCCCGTCTGACGCCGTCGGAAGCCGTTTGGGGGGCCTCTCTGGGCCGACTTGGGGCCCTCTGGGTCCTGGAGGCCTCTTGGGGCGTCTTGCAGGACTCGTGGGCCGTCTGGAGGATGCGAAGGAGGCGTCTTGGACAGATCGTTCGGCGATTCGAAGCCCTATAGCTCCTGGACCGTCTTGGGGGCCTCTTGGGGCACTCACTCTTGGCTCGTCTTGGGCTTGTTGGGCTCTAGGGCACACCAGGGGGAGTCGTATCTGACCCGGGATCCCCCCCCCCTTGGACGCCCCCACGGGACTCCCCCCCCAGACTCCCCCCGGTCTCATACCCTGGGGATCAGGGACCCTGGTACCCCAACCCCCCTCCGGCGGATGGGAGTCAGAGGGTTGGGGGTGACCTGCGTGGCGTGTTCGTACGGTGCCGCAATTTTTAGCGGGGCGGGTTGTTTGGGGAGTTGGGGGGAGGGGGGGAGGGGGCGGTGTGTGTTATGAGTTGTTATTCTGTTTGTACTTCCCCCCCCCAACCCCCCCCCCCCACCCCCCCCCCCCCCCCCCCTCCCCCCCCCCCCCCCCCCCCCCCCCCCACCCCCCCTTTTTTTTGTTTTTTTTTTTTTTTTTCTTTTTTTTTTCTACTTCCCTTTTTGTCTTCAACCTTTTTTGTTTTTTTTTTTTCTTTTTATTTTTTTCTTTTTTTATCTGGCTAGCGCGCTTGCGGAGGAGGGCCCAGGCAAGGGGGGGGGAGCGTCGACGGGCACATGGAAAGGAGAGCGCAAGGAAAGAGGACGACAGAGACGACGATTGATGAATGACGGCGACGACGACTCGAACGTAGAATGGTCGGCTGATTTCCTATGCTCTGATGTGTCTGCGCAGGTTGGCGTGCTCGTCGTTGTGCCTCTGCTCCGCTAAGTGGTCAGTGGTTTGACTGAGCTGTAGAAGCCTCCTCGCGTATGCACTTCGATGATGTATTCCTTTCCGCCACGCCGTCTCACAGATGTGCATGGCCAGCCAGGTTGCGTATGGTCTCGTCGCATGCCCGAAGAATATTGGCCTCATTCTGGTTTGGGCATTCTGGCTGGCGTGTAGGATATGCAACAATCGATCCATTCGTCTTCGTCTTCGCTTGCTTCTTCGCCTACACTGTATCCAGGCCTGGCTCCATCCTGGGACGATCCTCTGGATTTCTTCCAGCTCTCGCCTGGCAGCCGCCTCCGCTGAGAGGAGAAGGATGAGGAGGAGGAAGAGGAGGAGGAGGAGGAGGAGGGGAGGAGGAGAAGGAGGAGGAGAAGGAGGAGGAAAAGGAGGAGGAGCAGAACATGGAGAAGGAGGAGGATGATGGGGAGGAGAAGGATACTCAGAATCAGGAGGATGATTCATGAGAACAAGCGAACTGTAGGCTGCCAGCCGTGGTGCATCAAATTTAAAAACATGCTGTGGGCTCATCGTGACGTTCTAGAGGGGAGGGCGGGACCGCCATCTCTGGACTTGTTTTTCCGTGGTCCGTGGTGTGTGACCGATGGGCAGACAGTTGTGGGCTCTGAACTTGGTCGTCTGTGGGCGATTGGCTGTCAAGGCTGGAGCCGCTCGACCGCATCCCCATGGTCCCGGTCACTGGCCGGACTTGGCCATCACCGCCAGTCCAGGATTTTGTCTAGCCTGGCGGTCGTGATGTTGGAAGTTGTCCCCATGCTTTATTTTTTATGATTTTTTTTTATCTCCTTTTTTTTTACTTTTACCGGAAGTTGTCCCCATGCTCGGTTGGCATTCAGTGCAGGTTGGTGAAGGTGGACGATTTGAACCTTCGTGACCAAGATCATGCTGATTCCAGCTTGCAGTTCCTTCTTCACGTTTTTCGCGCCCGCTGTGTCCTCCAGCTAGATGCGTTGCACGTGAGATTGTCTAGGCTGTCCGTTTACTACGGCGTCCCTGTGCCGTCTAAGGACTCATCTTGGGCCAGTCGAATAAAGTTGATGCGCTTTCCCACAACCTCTCTTGCTCCCCTCCCTCGTTGTAGCCCTCAATTTCTCTTTCGCATCCCCTTGCCCTTCCGCTTCCCGCTTTCATCTTGAAGACCTCTTGCCGGCCTGCAGTCTTGATCCGACCCTGGATGCTCTGTTCTACCTGTCTGTGCCGAGCTCACTTCTCAGACAAAGCTGCCTCCACGGCTCGTGATGCGCACCGCCGCGCGTGTTCCTGCTGCGCGGATGCTGACCCCTCGCGATCTGCCGATGGTGCGTAGTCGTTTTGCTGAGCAGAGCATGAGCATGAGCTGCGAAACAATGCCGCAGATTCCCACGACGCTTTCGACCGCCTACCGCCAGAGTGCGTACGTGGCCGAAAGGCGCGGCGCCTGACTTTCTTTGCTTCGGGGATGGCAGCAAGCAGGCCGATGAGAAGGGCGCGATGCGGAGCAGATTGATGCGATGCTGTGGTAGTGAGTTGCAGTAGGCATGAGCTGGGGCGCCATCACTCACAGGACAAGCCAATCGTTGACGCTTCGTCTGTCCCTACCAGCCCGTCAAAGAGACGATCCCCACGCGAATCGCTGTGGGAAGGGGGGTGGAGGAACACACAGGCACCACAGGGCGCCAACCGCAGGGCGCCAACACGGGCACCACGTGGCACCCACCAGAGGCACCGTCGGGGAATGGCCCGCTGGGGCCGACGTGGAGCCATCGGGCACCGACCGAGGCGCACGCACCGACCGGAGGGGCACCGACCGGGGACGGCCGACGGCGACACAGAGGGACCCGCAGGGCCTCCACACGAGAGGCACCGCTCGGGAAAATCGCCGACGGGGGCGCAGGAGGGGGCCGAAAAGGGCACCCGCACGAGGGGCTCTCGCCGTGGGGCACCGGCCAAGGACGGCCGACTGGTGGCCCCGAGGTCGGGGGCGGAAAAGAGGGGGGTGATGACTAGGGGGTTGGTGGACATCATGGCGTCGGCCATGATATTTCCCCAGATTCCATGGCGTCTCTTCTTGTTTCATTACGTCCCTGGCCCCCCCGCTGGGCCGCGCGCATGCCGCCGGTCATTATTTGCACCCCCCCCTCTTGGACACCCCCCTCTTGGCCGCTCCCGACAAGGGCCGAACGCACGGTGCATCAGCACGCCGAGCGCGAAGGGCAGCAGGACCGGACCGGCCAGCAGGCGGCCGCTCTGGGGCCGCGCGCCCTGCGGCAGCACGGGGGCCTCGGACCCCGTGACTCGCGGCCAGGGGCCTGCTTCTCCGTCCTCGTCGTCCTCCTCGTCCTCCTCCTCCTCCTCCTCCTCCTCCTCCTCCTCCTCCTCCTCCTCCTCCCTCCTCGTCGCCCTCCTCCTCGTCCTCCTCGTCCTTCTCCTCCTCCTCCTCCTCCTCCTCTTCCTCCTCCTCTTCCTCCCTCCTCGTCGCCCTCCTCCTCGTCCTCCTCCTCCTCCTCCTCCTCCTCCTCCTCTTCCTTTTTTTGGCAGCAGCGCACAGGCCCCTTTACGGTGCGCTCTGGCGCATGGCCGACGGGGCCAGCCAGAGGGCACCAGCGCACAGGGCAGCAGCCACGGGCCACCAGCCGGGAACGGCCGAGTGCGACGCGCCCGGCGACGCCCGGGGCAACGACCACGGGGCACCGTGCGGCAGCGGCCGACGGCGGCCACGACGGCCACACTCAGCAGGGGAGAAAGCACACAGAGACACAACTCATCGTCGACTCCCAGGAAATTTTTGGGAAACTATGGCAAGTGGGGGGGAAGACAGAAGCCCAGAACATGTGGGACGATATGGGGACTCCTCGGATTTGTGTCCATTTCTTTGTGTGCTCCTGGGTCCCTCTGCAAACCCAGGGCGCCCTCGCCCAGGGCGCCATCCGTAGGGCACCGACGGACAACGGCCGACTGCGACCCACAGGGCCGTCCCCGTCGGGCCCACGCGTGGGGCACTAGCCGCGCGGTCTTGGGGCCTCTTGGGGGCCGCGCGGGGCCTCCTGGCCGCCTCTTGGGGCATCCTGGGAGCCTCTTGGAGCGGAAGGCAAAAACTTTTGGTTCGTGCTCCCTCTCTTGGGCCCCTTCTGGGGCCCTCTTGGGGCCCCCTTGGGTTGTTCTGGGCGTCTCTTAGGCCGTCTTCGGGCCCTCTTTGGGCCGTTTGGGGGTCTTCTTGGAGGCCTCTGGGGACGTCTTGGGGCGGTCTTGGGGGCCTCTAGGGCCATCTGGGAGCGTCGGGAGCCGAAAAGGCGAGAACGCCAAAGTCTTTCAAAAGCCTGACGAACATCAATGATTTTAGCCTCTTGGGGCTCTCCTTGGGGAGCCTCTTGGAGGCCTCTGTGGGCGTTTTGGAGGCCTCTTAGGCCGTCTGGGGGCCATCTTGAGCGTCTTGGAGCGATCTTTCGGCGACTCGGGGCCCTCTTGGACCATCTTGTGGGCTTCTTGGGCTCCCTTGGCCCGGCTTGGGGCCCTCTTGGGCTTGAGAATTCGTGCGGGAACATTTCCCGAAGCCCAGAGGGCAGGCGGGAAGCCCGAGGAGATTTCGGAGTTTGAGGCCTGGGCCCCTCAAAGACTCCTCAGGAGTGTGGATTGAGGCTGAGAAGATTCGGCACAGGACCCGAGGACACGCCCACGCCGTGCCCAGAGGCGCGGTGGCGGACCTTCAGGTTCTGGGAAGCTTTTGCTGCGCCCCTGGACGCCTCCCAATGCTCTCCCTCCTCCAAGAACCATCCGCCCGTCCTCTCCCTCCGGCCTCGGAGCCCCCTTCGTGCGCCCGCCCCAAATGAGGCCCGCGCCTTGATATCTTTCACCTCAAGGGAACTGCTGCGCCCCTGGGAGCCTCCCAAGGGTTCTCCCTCCCGGCATCTCCCGCAGAGCGTCCCAGGTTCCCACTGGTCACCACCTCGCGGGCCTGTGAGCCAGCCGCTCGTCTCTTGCGTCCTGGCGGTTGCTGCGGGGGCCTGGCGGGTGCTGCGGGGGTATGTGGAGGATCCTCCCGGGAGGCTCTGGAGTGTCCTGGGGGGTCCTGGAGGGATTCTGCCAGGTCCTGGGGAGTCGTGAGGAGCAGGTCCCGGAGGATCCTGCGGGGTCCTGGCGGGGGGCCTCATCTGGGGGCCTGCGCTGTTTCGCAAAAGGGTCCTTTTCGGGTCGGTTCGGGCTGGTTCGTCGCCGATTCGGCCCGTTCGCTTCCAGGAGCCCCGATCGCTTCTATGCTCCTTCGGGCAGATGTCCTTGTTGGTCTTGGCGGGTTCTGCGGGGTCCTTGGGGGTTCCTGGGGAGTCATGGTGGTCCCGAAAGGTTCCTGGAGGTTCTTGGGGGTCCTGGAGGTTCTGGGGATGCTGGGGTGTTGTAGGGGGTCCTGGGTGGTCTCACGGGGTCCTGTGGGGTTCCAGGGGGTCGTGGGGGTGCTGCGGCGTCCTGGGGGGTCCTAGGGGGTGTCTTGAGTGGTCCTGGGGGTCCTGGGGGGTCTTGGGGGGTCCTGGGGGGTCTTGGGTGGTCCTGGGGGTCCTGGAGGGGTGTCCTAGGAGGTCCTGCGGGGTCCTGGGGGGTCCTGGGGAGTCCTGAGGGGTCCTGCGGTGTCCTGGGGGGTCCTGTGGGGGGTGCCTGCGCTGTTCGGGTTGCTCTGGCGGTGGGTCCGTCTGGTTGCGTCGGTTTGGTTCGTCGACGGGCCGGTTCGGTGTCGGCACGGTCTTTCGTGGGACCCCGCGGTGCGCTAGTGGTGGACCGTACTGTGTTGGTGAAAGACCTGGCGATCCCAGTTGGAAGAGTCGGGACGGACCGCCAGCGTTCTGGTAACAGTTCTCGGCGTTCCCAGTTCGGCCCGCACCCGTTTCCAAACGGTTACTCAATGGCAGCCCGGCCTAGCTTTTCTGTGCAATGTGAGCTTCGGAGCCGCAGCGAGGCGGAGACGCTTCGGTCTCGTCGCTGTCCCCGCCGTCCAGTATGGCGCGTTCCACCATGCAGGAGTCCAGCAGCCGTAGGCAGAGAAGCCCTCGCAGGCTGACGCTGCCCGAGGGCCACCTGCGCCCGCGCAGTGACTCCTGCACCCTGCCGCCCTCCTGCTCCTCTCTCTCTCTCTCGCGCGAGCCCGTGACCTCCTGCGCCATGCCGCGCCACGCCAGTCCTGGGAGCGCCCGGCCGAGCAAGCCCCCCGCCCCCCCGGCGCCGAGGAGAGGGAGGCGTGGCTGAGGCTCCTGCGACCAGAGGCGGGCCGCGCCCCCCCTGCTCTGCCCCCTGCTCTGCCCCCTGCTCTGCCCTCTACTCTGCCCCCTGCTCCCCCTCTTGCCCGACTCCCGCTCCTCCTCGCCTCCGGCTCCTGCCGGGTCGCGCCGAGGGGTCGGCCCCTCTCCCGCCTTCGGCCTCGGGGGGCGTGCACAGCAGCTGCTGCCGACGACTGGCCCCTCCCCCCGTGGGCTCCTCGCAAGTCCTCCTCCCCCCCCCCCTCCGCTCCCCTTCTCTCCCTCCCTCCCTGGTCTCCCTCCCCTCCCTCCCTCCCTCCCCTCCCTCCCCTCTCTCCCTCCCTCCCTCCCTCCCTCCCCTCCCATCCCCTCGCCTCCATCCCTCCCTCCTCAGTGCCAACAGGTTCCGCCAGCACTCGCCTCCTCCCAGGTCCACGCACCAACCTTCTACCTCCCTTCCCCTCCCTCCCTCCCTCCCTCTCTTCCCCACTCTCCCTCTCGCCCTCCTCTCTTCTCCCCTCCGCAAGTATACACGATGAAAATGATACCGGAGAAAAGACCCAATCATAATCTTTTTAGGCAGGGCTATGGGGCTATGGGGCTGCAGGGCTATAGGGACACAGGGCTATAGGTCTATAGGGCAATAGGGCTATAGGGCTATAGGGCCATCGGGCTACAGGGCTGTAGGGTTATAGGGCTATGGGGCTATGGGGCTCTGGGACTATGGGACTATAGGGCTATAGGGCCATAGGGCTATAGGTCTATAGGGCTATGGGGCTATAGGGCTGTATGATCATAGGGCTATAGGACTACAGGGGTATAGGGCTATAGGGCTACAAGGCCATGGGGCTCTAGGGCCATAGGGCTGTAGGGCTATAGGGCCGTAGGGCCATAGGGCTATAGGGCTATAGGGCTATGGGGCTATAGGGCTATATGGCTATAGGGCTATAGGGCCATAGGGCTATAGGGATATAAGGCTGTACGGCTATAGGGCTGTAGGGCTATAGGGCACCCGGGCACCCGGGCACCCCGGCACCTGGGCACCTGGGCACCCGGGCACCTGGGCACCCGGGCATCCTGGCACCCGGGCACCCGGACACCCGGGCGGGCCGCGGAAATCGGCGCAAAGCTCACCTAACCATATGAATCCGCTTGAACCCCTACAAAGGAAAGCTCTGATAGGGAAAATACTATCCTCTCTCCCCTGATGGCGTCCAGAAGATATCTGGCTCCCCTCCGCGTATTTTTCCACACAGAATTCTCGGGAGTTGGGGTTTTCGCTTGGGTTTTTGTTTCAAAATGTTGCTCCCGCCGAAGCGCTGGCCTCATTTTCGGGCTTCCGCTCGTTCCTAATCGTGCTCCCGCTGCAGCGCTGGCCTCATTTCCGCGCTCTGCTCATTCCGAATCGTGCTCCCGCTGCAGCGCTGGCCTTCCTTCCAAGTAAGCCCCCAAATCTAGAAAGTACCTCCCTCAAAAAAAGCCGTCGGAAGTGATTAATTACACATTCGGTGTCGATTCGTTGAGTTTTTGTCCCGCAGAAGTCCCCACATTTTGGGGGCGTCGTCGTTTTCAGGAAGTATCATCCGGGAGCCCCGTTTCTGTTTTGAGATGGCGATGTTGAAAGCAGAGCCAGCGGGGGCCCTCCATCGGTCCCGCCTTGCGTGGAGCTCTTCGGGGAGCCCAAGGAGCTAGACATGGAGCCGCGATTCCAGACTGGCCCAGACCTCTCGAAGACGATCCACTCACCCTCCAAGGAACCTGGCGCCATGCCATGACATGCTGTGCTGTGCGGTGTTGTGTTCTGCGCCGCTGTGCGATGCCATGCTTTTCGTTGCAATGCTTTGTGATGCAATGTCTCACTGCGCAATGCGACGCCATGCTATGGCATGCTACGCTCTGCCATGCTCTTCTACACCATGCCATGCCGTGCTCTACCATGCATCGCGTACCCTTCGTGATCATTGCCATGCTCGGCATCCGACTGTGCGAATAGAGAGGATATCTTCGCCATGGTAAGGGATGGGGGGAGGGGTGGGACGTCAGATATGACGCGAGCGCACCTAGCTTGTCTCCCCTCCCCTCCCCTCCCTCCCCCCCTCCCTCCTTCCCTCCCCCCTTCTCGAGAGGGGGTCTGCGTTGCCAGACTGCGGGCGGAACGGCGGGCGAGCCCCGACCCCGACACCCGACGCCAGTTGAAGCTCGCAGCGTGCTCAGGCATCGCTGCTAGGTCTCTGTCGGATGTCGCCCTGGCTCCCGACCTTTCCTGGCCAGGTCGATACATGAGGGCCCTGGGTCCCCAGACCCCCAGCGGCATGATTTTTCCATTGCGTGGGCCCCTCAGGAGTCTGGGCCCCTCCCCCGGAACCGGTTTCTCGTCCCGGGTCGTTCTTTGACGGCCCCGAGGCCCGGCAAGGATCCCAGGGGGTCGAAAGTTCAGACAAGTCTCCCGCCATGATCTTTTCATGACCCGAGGGGGTCCGGAACCCGACATCGATCCCGCCGCAGCTTCTGCCCCGACGCCCGGGCGTCGGGGGCCACGGGCCGGCGGGCCCCGACGCCCTGCCGGAGGGCGGGCCCCAGAGCGCAGGCCGGAGGGGCGGCTGCTATGATCCAAGAGCGCGGTGGGTGCCCACCGCCAGGCCACACCACAGGGGGTCGGAGGATCGCGCCGCATCGCCGATGCATCGGCGATGCGGCTCGACGTACTTTCTCCACGCCGACGGCGCCGATTCACTACCGACGTCTCCGATTATCATCGCCGATGCGTCGCCGATGCGTCGGCCATGCGGCGCGATTCTCCATCCCCCATTGTGGCATCCATTTGGGATGGCCTCTATCACCCCCGCCCGCCCCCCCCCCCTGCTTGGAACGCTCGTCCGCCCCGCCGCGGCGGGGAGTTCTAGGAGGAGGGAGGAGGAGGGAGGGAGGAGGAGGAGGGAGGAGGAGGAGGAGGAGGAGGAGGAGGAGGGGAGGGAGGAGGAGAGGGCGGAGGAGGGAGGGAAGGTGGAGGAGGAGGCGGGGAGGAGGAGGAGGAGTGGGGGGGGAGGAGGAGGAGGCATGAGCAGGAGGAGGAGGAGGAGGGGAGGAGGGGAGGAGGAGGGGAGGAGGAGGAGGAGGAGGGGGGAGGAGGAGGAGGAGGAGGAGGAGGAGGGATGAGGAGGTGGAGGAGGAGGAGGAGGAGGAGGAGGAGGAGGAGGAGGCGGAGGAGGCGGAGGAGGAGGAGGAGGAGGAGGAGGCGGAGGAGGATGGAGGAGTAGGGGGGGAGGAGGAGGAGGAGGAGGAGGAGGAGGAGGAGGAGGAGGAGGAGCGAGGAGGAGGAGGAGGAGGAGGGAGGAGGGAGGAGGAGGGGGAGGAGGAGGAGGAGGAGGAGGAGGAGGGAGGAGGAGGAGGAGGAGGAGGAGTCGAGGGAGGAGGAGGAGGGAGGAGGAGGAGGGGAGGAGGCGGAGGAGGAGGAGGAGGAGGAGGGGAGGAGGAGGAGGGAGGACGGCCGGGTTGACAGCACGCTCGCCCTCGAGGAACCCTGACGCGTGCATAGATTTGCGGGGCCCATGGCGCAAAGCCTTGGGCGGTGCTCTGCTCAGAGAAAGATAACCCTTAACGCCCGAGCCGCCCGCCCATCCCACAGGGGTGGCCATGGCTCGTCTCACAGGCGCGGCGCGGGCGGGGAGGGCGCCCCGGGCTCCCTGCCCTTCCTGGCCTTCTGGCCTCTCGCCCTGGCCTCTCTGGCCTCCCCCATCCCCCCCAGAGCTTGGGGTTGCTTTCGTTCCGTGCCGCCGTCGCGTCGTCCCGGCCTCCTCCTCCTGCGTGAGGAGGAGGAGGAGGAGGAGGAGGAGGAGGAGGGAGGAGGAGGAGGGGAGGAGGAGGAGGAGGAGGAGGAGGAGGAGGAGGGAGGAGGAGGAAGGAGGAGGAGAGGAGGCGGAGGCGGAGGAGGTAGGAGGGGAGGAGGAGGCGGAGGAGGAGGAGGAGGAGGAGGAGGAGGCGGAGGAGGGGAGGAGGGGAGGAGTAGGAGGAGGAGTGAGGAGGAGGGGTGGTGAGGAGGAGGAGGATGAGCAGGAGGAGGAGGGGAGGAGGAGGAGGAGGAGGAGGAGGAGGAGGAGGAGGTAGGAGGAGGTGAGGAGGAGGAGGAGGGGGGGGGAGGAGGAGGAGGTGGAGGAGGAGGAGGGAGGAGGAGGAGGGAGGAGGAGGAGGAGGAGGAGGAGGAGGAGGAGGAGGAGGAGGAGGAGGAGGAGGAGGAGGAGGAGGAGGAGGAGGAGGACGCCTCGCTCCCTGAGCCGAGTTTCCCCCCCTGACGCTGCCCCTCACGCAGGGCACCGAGGGCGTGCGCACCGTGCGGGTGCCTGGCAGAGAGGCAGCGGGCCTCCAGTTTTCGAGGGGGCGGGGCTGCGACGGGCTGCGGTGGTCTCGGCCTGCGCTTCTCTCTCGGGTGGCCCTTGGTGTGCGTGCGCTCGTCCCAGAGGCCCAACAACTCTCGCGGTCTGAGATGGCCGCCCTTCCCCTCCCCCCTCCTCCCGCGGCCGCCTGCTCCTCCTGTTCCAGTCTCTTTGCCGTGCCAGGTTCGCCGTCCAGTGGCCCTGGCCTGCTGGACTGGCCTGCGCGCTCGCCCAGTCCACAGGAAGCAATTGTGACTGCTTCAGAAGAGTACTACTTCGCTTTGTGGCTGTCCCCCCATCGCGAGTTCAACCGTGAGCTGAACAGGCTGTGTGTTTAAATATTCTGGGGGCGGAACGACCTGCGGGCGAAGCAAGTCTCGGGCAAAACGAACCACGGGCGAAGCTGACCGAGTGAAGCGAGCCACAAGTGAACGTGCGCCCTGCTTGCACCCTCCTCCTTCCTCCTCTTTCCTCCTCCTCGTCTCACCTTATCAGTTCCGGCCGATCTTCTGGCGAGTACGGTAGGTTCGTGTTGTGTCGACGCGGCTGCGCGGACCCAGCGCGGGCGTTCAAGGTTGAGCGTTGGCGCGGAATCGGCCAGCATGGAACGATCTGGCGATCGAGAAGCCGCCGATCGTTCAAGGATGAGCGACCCATGCGGTGTTTGAAACCAACGCCGAAGTCGTCACGACACGAGCCGGCGGGTGCGCCTGGCCCTGGCCCTCAGTGTACCCAGCCCAGACATCCTCCGATACGTTTTTTCTAACCACCCCTGGTGTTGGGTCCTCGTTTTGAAGAGACAGCGCCCCGCATACCTTCCTCCTCTCCTCTCCTCTCCTCTCCTCTCCTCTCCTCGCCTCGCCTCGCCTCGCCTCGCCTCGCCCCGCCTCGCCTCGCCTCGCCTCGCCTCTCCTCTCCTCTCCTCTCCTCTCCCCCTTCTCCTTCTCCTCTCCTTCTCCTTCTCCTTCTCCTTCTCCTTCTCCTTCTCCTTCTCCTTCTCCTTCTCCTTCTCCTTCTCCTTCTCCTTCTCCTTCTCCTTCTCCTTCTCCTTTTCGTCTTCTCTCGTCCTCCTCCTCCTCGTTCTTTCCCCCGTAGCCACTTTGGCTCAGGAGACCATGTCAGGAAGGGGGGCTCCGCGCACGCGCTCCCAGCTCTCTTGCATGTCGATGGTGGCGCCTCTTGCCTTTGCGGGTGGGGTGGAGCCTACGCAGTGAAGTGGTGCACACGCGGAGCGCCTGCGCTTGTGAGGCTCGTCGTCTACGAGCTTTGCGTCTCCATTATGTTCGCCCTCGTCCTTTCCAACGGCGCTGCGTTGAAATCGCCGAGCCTCTCGTCCAGAATGCACGTGCAGTGGTCCATGGACTTGAATTACGCTCAGACCTTCAACGCCGCAATGGCTTTCGGTCTCATCTTCTTCGCGACGCCGTTGCTGCGGCTGGGCCGTCGCTCACCGCCGAGGAGCTGCAGATGATGCTCAAGGAGAACTCCCGCTCCGTGTGTGCCAGACATCGAATTATTTTTCTTCCGGTAGACGCTGCCCTGCCGCCTCCTCGCGAGGCGCCTCGTCCTGTCGTGGCCGATGGTGCGCCGCAGCCTGCGGCGAGAACCCCGCTGGTTCTGCATGATCTTCTTTCTCATCTTGGTTCGGTGTCGGCGGGCGTTGCTGCTTTGCTCGGGTCGGTTCAACTGCTGGTTACCATGTTCTGGTCAGCTCAGTCGGTGTGGCAGGTGCTGCCTGTGGGCGTGTGCGACGGCTCTGATCTGCAGAAGGTCTCTGACTACCTGCGCTCTCTTGCTGGTCTGGCTACTGGGCCTGCTGCCTTCAGTGACAGTGGCGTTCCGCACTCTTCTTCCTCATCGCCGCCTGGTGTGGCTGACAATGAAGCTTGCTTGCACGATCTTGACTCTGAGACGGAGTTATGCATACTAGAGGACCGTCAGGCCGCTGGCAGGGTTGCAGCACCCGCTGCTGCGGCTCAGCCTGGAGATCTTCTTCGTGGTGGAGTTCTGCGTTCGGAGCGTCAGGCGGCTGGAGGCGTTGCTGCACCCGCTGCCGATGCTCAGCTTCAAGACCTGCAGCCTGGTTGCGGAATTCTGCGTCCTCGGGGTCCTGCTGTGGGGCTGGACCGTGCTGGGGATCGTATCGGTGATCGGCTTCTGGTCCCTGTCCGTTCTCGGCTTTCTGACTCTGCGGGTGGCAGTGCTGCTCATCTAGATGCATGCGCCGTGCCTCCTGAAGCTCGTGCCGACCGTGGTCTTCACAACCGACGTGCTGAGCATCGTGTTCCTCTGGTTCTTGATCGCGCTGACCCTCAACGAGCTCATGTGGGAGATGCGGCTGCCACTGCGGACGGTGGTCGTCTGGATGCTGCTCGCGCTCCTCGCGGCGCTTGTGCTGCTGCTGCTGGTGACATTGCTCTTCCTCATTGGCATTGTGCTCGTGCTACGCGCCATTTCTACTGCCTGAAGGTCCCCCCTGTGGGCCCGAGGATCTCGACTCGTTCGGCATGCCGCTACCATCCGCGCTGTACATGTGGCGACGACTGCAACAACTCGCATCTGACAGTGCTGACCAACGAGGCTCTTGCTGCTGAGCATGCGCGCCTTTGCCGCCTGCGTCCTGCGTTTGCCGACGCTCAGCCGATGACCGTGGAGCTCTGGCTGGCTAGGGCTGCCAGCCGCAGTGCCCTGGAGGTGCACGCCTTGACTGGACAAGCTGCCGATCCAGCGTTCGACGCTGGCGCCAGTGCACATGCTGTTCTCCAAACTGCTGCGACAACAGTCACCAAGGTGCCTTCGACGAGAAGTACTGCGACAACTTCGGCTTCGCCGGCGAAACTTGCAGGCACTTCACGCCCGCGATGACCACCAGCTCCCTCAAGATCAGCGACTTGCGGCTCCTCCTGATCGTGTTGTTCAGGCATAGCCGAAAGCTACGAAGCGCATCAATTTCAACGAGGATACCGAGCACGGCCTGACCTGCAGCGCAAAGAGGGGGAGTACTACTAATAATATTAAGAAACGGAGGATGGGCGCTCCTCGTTGGGTTCTTCTTGCGGCTGGTGCTGATGATGTTGAGCTTGATGGCGCTTTGGCCGAACGGCTGCGGAGGCAGGTGGTGCCAGGGGCCCCTCTTTTTCGTTATGGTGATCTTCCGCGACTAGGCTGCAGCAGCCAGGCCCTTGCCGCTCATGTCGACCTCTTGGCCATGGCCGTGGGCACTGTCTCGATTTACGACGATTTCGCCGATTCCTTCGCTTCCCAGCCGTCCGCACGCGGCGCGTACGGCGCGACCTACCTGAACATCTTTGATTTCAGCTACCAGAACTATGACGATGTTGTGCCTGCCGACCACTCGCTCGCCGAGATGGGCGTTGGCGCTGGCTTCAACAACTCCTCCAACAGCGACTCCGTCGACGTCGACGCCGAGGCCCTGGGAGGCTCCGAGGCGAGCGCGCGCGAGGCGTAAGGAGGCACCTTCCTTCTTGAGACGTTCGCTCCTCCTCTCCTTCTCCTTCTCCTCCTCCTCCTTCTTCTCCTCCTCCTCCTTCTTCGCCTCCTCCTCTTCCTCCTCCTCCTCCTCCTCCCCCCTCCCTCCTCCCATTCTTGCCCCTGCCATCCGCATGTCTCCTGTTTTTGTACACCCCTCACACGCTTCGCCGTCCCATAGGGAGCTCCGCTCAAGGGCCAAATTGTGCTGCCCGCGTGCGTCCCCGCTACCCACTTGGGCAGACCACTCACATGTTTCGTGGCCCCATCGGGGGGTCCACCCAAGGCCCACGTGGTGCCGCCCGCGTGCGTCCCCGTCACCCATGTCGGTGCACCCCTAACGCGTTTCGTGGTCCCACAAACAGCTCCACCCAAGGCCCACATGGTGCCGCCCGCCTGCGTCCCCGCCACCCATTCCGCAACGCCCTTCGCGCGTTTCGTGGCCCCATCGGGGGGTCCACCCAATGCCCACATGGTGCTGCCAGCGTGCGTCCCTGCCACCAATTTCGGCGTACGCCTCACACTTTACGTGGCCCCGTCGGGAGCTCCACCCAAGGCCCAAACGGGACCGCTTGCATGCGTCCCCGCCGCCCATGCCGACACACGCTTCACATATTTCGTGGCCCCCAGGGAGGTACTTCCACTCAAGGCCCACATGGTGCCGCCTGCATGCGTCCCCGCTGTTCATTTTGGCACACCCCTCACACGTATCGTGACTCCATAGGGAGCTCCACCCAAGGCCCACATGGTGCCGCCCGCATGCGTCCCCGCCACCTATTTCGGTGCACCCCTCACACGTTTCGTGGTCCCATAAGGAATTCCGCCCAAAGCCCAAATTGTGCTGCCCGCGTGCGTCCGTGCCACCCATTTTGGCACACCTTCATGCGTTTCGTGACCCCATAGGGAGCTTCACCCAAAACCCACATGGTGCCGCCCGCATGCGTCCCCGCCACTTATTTCGGTACACCCCTCGCGCGTTTCGTGGCCGCACAAGGACCTTCACCTAAGGCCCAAATGGTGCCGCCCGCAAGCGGCATGCGTCCCCGTCACCCATGTCGCACCCCTCACACGTTTCGTGGCCCCATAGGGAGCTCCACCCAAGGCCCAAATGGTGCCACCGTTCACATGTGTCTCCCACACACATCCACGAACACGTTCCCCGCATTTCGTGGCCCCACAAGCAGCTCCATCCAAGGGCGCATGAGGATTTCCATTAAAGGCGATATTCACACCGACGGTCATCACAACTGCAGATGGTTGGGTCGTTCGCCAGGATAACTTCCATCCGTGGTCCCCTTGCTCTCGTCCTGTCCCCCGTGGGCAGCTTCTCGTCCTGTATTCATCCTGTACACGGCGCGCGATCGCAGGCCACACGAGCCGAAATGGAGGAGAAACGACGGGATTGAAAAATTCTGCCGCCAGGGATCTGGTAGCTCTGCCGCGACCGTCTGGGGGGCCGCGACAAGAGGCTCGGGTGCCGTTCGGGTTGAGGCCGACTGGGCCCGCTTGCTCTCGACGTGCCGCGGGCTCGCCGCCTCCGTCCGCCGCCCCTTCTCTCGATGCCGGCCGGCGCTCGAACTCCCGGGGAGGCCAAGTGACGCCCGGCCGGCGCGCGTGACCAGGTCGGCCCGGCCGCCGCGGCATCAGCGGGCCCAGGCCCACCCCGTCGCGTTGTGAACACAGGTCTCGACGGGAGGTCGCTGGCCATGTTCGGGCTCTGGGGGGCATGCGCTGGGCCCCGGAACCTTCCAGAAACGACCCAGGATGGACAGGCAGCCGGTCCCGGGGAAGGCGTCCAGACCTCCGGGGCTCCACGTCGCGAAGAAGTCACGACGTCGGGGGGGTCCAGGGAGACTCCCCGCGCGCTCTCCTGGCCCCTGCGCGCCTGGTGCTGCTCTGCTCAGGTGCAGGTGTACCTCTGCCACCCTTCCCCTCTCCCCCGCCCTCGCCACGCCCTGCCCCCCCTACCTCCCCTCAGGTTCAAAGTGTCTTTGTGTGTGTGTGTGTGTGTGTGTGTCCTTGTGTGCAACGGTTCGTGCATTGTGCCTTCGACAATCTTCGATTGCAATTAGCACTTCCATCTGCTGCTCGCGCCTGAAGGCCCTCTGTGCCGCTGACTTAAAAGTGTGTGTGTGTGTGTGTGTGTGTGTGTGTGTTTGTGCGTCTTCGTTTTTACTGCATTGCAAGTTGGCTTCGGCCTTTTCCGCGTGCATCCGCATCAGCGGTTTTTTGTTCCTGCATTGGGCTGTTTCCTTCCAGTCCACCCATCTGCCACGCCAGGCGTTAATTCGCCCAAGCGCGATCCAGCACAGCGCATCGCGGCCGTGTCGTCATCTCGCCGCTGGCGGTGATGATGGCGCTGATGATGATGATGATGATGATGATGATGATGATGAGGAGGATGAGGATGAGGATGAGGATGAGGATGAGGATGAGGATGAGGATGAGGATGAGGATGATGATGATGATGATGATGATGATGAGGATGAGGATGAGGATGAGGATGAGGATGAGGATGGATTATAGAGGAAGGAGGGGGAGGAGGCGGAGGAGGTGGAGGAGGAGGAGAGGGAGGAAGGAAGGAACGAAGGAAGGAACGCGGGGCGCTGTCTCTTCAAAACGAAGACCCGACACCAGAGAATGGTCGGGAAAAGCACCTGTGTTCATGATCGTTGCTCATCGCCCCTCTCACGCATCACGCTTCCCTTGCAGGCTGGCCCTCCCTCCGCCGCCTCTTTGCCGCGCGGGGCTCCAGGCGCAGATCGCTGGCTGGGCAGCTTCCCTGCTCTCTGCGGCTGCTCTCTGTGGTCGGGGCCTGCGAGCTTCTGGTCGCCGTGCGCCGCCGGCTGCTGCGCAGACCGGCATCCGTCTCATCATGGGGCCCATTTCCAGGGCCTCTCTGCTGCGGCGCGCATCTTCGCTGGCCCGGCCGCCAAGCAGAGAGCCTGACCGCCGCCGAGCAGCCAGCTGCCCTGCGGCCGGTCCGGGAGCAGCGATGAGGAAGACGAGGGCTCCACCGGGAGCGCCGACTCTCAGAGGAGGAGAGGATACCAATTTCGCTACGTGTCCTTCTTTGCCACGGCTGGGTTCGCTCCGAAATCTCGGGTTAGAACGCGCGCCAGGAGAGGTTTGGGGAGCAGCGGTATCGGTACGTTTTTGTTTCCCCTGATTCGCATGGTAATCGTTACAGCGTCGGCTCGGACAACTGTCACCAGACCAGGCAGGACAAGTGTCTGAAGACTCTTTCCATGGAGGCTTTTCCGCCCGAGGCCCCCCCGAGTTCCGCAAGGCGGACGCCGAGGGTATTCCCGAGTACGGGTCGAGCGGTTTCTCGAGCTCGTCCCCACTCTCCAGTCGCCCCTCCCGACGTGCGAGGAGCCCGTGGTGCCTCCATCGGGCCGTGGCCTACGGAGGGCGATGAGTCCGTCGAGAGGTCGAGAAGACCCATTCGCCTGACGCTTCCCGCGGCGACCAGAAAGTGGTGGCTCAGGATTCTCGCCTCGGCTGTCGTCGTCACCGCTGTAGAAGAGTTGCCGAGCAGCAGACGGGGCCACTTGCGGAGGCTCGAATCCACCGTCTGGCCAGGCGCGCATTTACCATAGCCAACGCGTGCAGTCATCCAGTGCATTGCTGACATCGTGGTAGCTGCATGCTTAGTGGCTGCAACACATCCACCCCGACACCTGACACCCACATCGCACCTTTTACTTCGGCGGCTAGGCAGAGTAACTGCGCTGGCGGAGGGCTACCTAAACGGGGGCACCGTTGTAGCACCCACATCGCGCAAGCATGCCGCCCATATCCTGGAGCACTGCATGCCTGTGTGGGGCGAATCGCGGCGTGCGTGGTCGGATACGCGCAGAGGCAGGCAGCCTAGGCGACGGTGTGAGAAACCCTGAGCTTTGTGCTCTTCTGGGATGGGTGCCCTGGATTCTGCCCCGCTGACTGGGAGGGATCTTTGGGCCTCCCCTTCTCCGGTCCTCGCGCTGTCCCGCTTCTTGCCGCAAGGCGTGACTGTGTAGCAGGCCTCGTGCCGCTCGTGAACGCTGACGCGCCCTGCCCCAGTGGTGCTCCTCCTCCCGGTTTCCCTGTCTCTTCTTCTGGTCTTTTTTGTTGGGTGTCGGGCATCGTCCTCGGACCATGGGGCCTCTGCCGGGGTGGGGGCGAGGGCGGGGCGGGTCTGGGATGGAGGCGCAGGCGAAGGGAGGGCGGCGGCCTCTGGGGACCCTTGGGCAGGGCCTGGTGAGAGCTCGCAAGCGACGCTGCATGCAAGCCACGGGCGAGCAGCCACGCTTGGAGTTGGACTCGCGATGGGTCGAAGCACCGCCTGTCAGCCTTGCCCTGGCCGAAGCGTGCGTCGGTGCCAGCGCTTGTCGCACAGGGCGCGATGCAGCCGAAGAAGGATTCTCGTCGTGCCTCACGTCGGGCCGGGGTTCGGACTGGGCCGCCTCGATCCTCGCGCCGAGCGAGTCAACGGCCTGTGGCGGCGGAGCTGGACGCCGCGTGGGGCTGGCTTGCCTCAGTGGCAGCCCGGACTGCCTGCCCGTGCCACCGGACGCGCGCGGAGCGGGCCGAGAGCACTCAGGCCCGATGAGTCCATGTGAGGTCGAGCAGCCGAAGCCGCGCGAGACGGCACCTCCCGGCAACGCCACCATCTGCGGCCCTCTGCGCCGCACCCCGAGACCCGACGTTGCGAAAAAGATGCAGCATCGCGAAACATCACGACTGGAGCTCCAGACCCCATACTTCTGCGGCATTTTTGTCGAGCCAGATCGATCCGTGGTGGTCCCCGCGCCCGAGACAGGGCGAACATGCCCGGCGCGGACAAGATGCAACGCCCAGAGCTGAGGGTATGCGGACGACTTGCAGGGCGAGCCTCCCAGCGCAGGCCTTCAAGTGGACCTCGTCATTCTCGAAGTTCGGGCCGGGTCGAGACCTAATGCTTGTCATGTGACAATGGAAATGGTGGACAACGCTGCTTAGCCAGCATGGATTCCGACTTAGAGACGTTCAGTCGTAATCCAACAGATGGTAGCTTCGCGGTATTAGCTTTTCAGTTAGCCGCATTTGCCAAGTATCGCGTCGGGGCTCGGCCGTGGCTGGGCCGGCTCACCACGCTCCGCGCAGGGGCTCCGCGACGGGCTGTCCGCGGTGCCGCTGCGACTCCTCGAGCCTGGCGCCTGTGTGAGCGTCGACCTCTGCGTGGCTCTCGCCTGAGATCCGACGCTGCGAAACAAAAACTGCAACATCGTGAAACATCACGACTGGAACCCCAGACCCCTGCGGCATTTTTCGAGGCGCATCGGTCTCAGGGGGTCCAGGGGCCCGAGACCGGGGGAACACGCCCGATGTGGAAAAAATGCAACGCCCGGATCTCAGGGCCTAGCGTTGCCGTTTGGTTTTCGGGCCGTAGCTTGGCTCTCTGGCTGCCGTTCGGAACGATCTGGGCACCTCCTGGACGCTCTCGGCGAGGCGCAGCTGCTGGAACGCATCCCGAGGCCGGGAACCCGCCAGGAGCCGATGGAAACTACAAAAGAAATATCCACAGCGTAATGTCCGTATCTTCGCGCCGCGCCAGGCTTCGCGCAGGGCTACGCGCCAGGTGGAAGTCGTGGGAATCCTTCCACCCCAGTGTGGCAGTTTTTTTTTTTTTTTTTTTTTTTTTTTTTTTTTTTTTTTTTTTTTTTTTTTTTTTTTTTTTTTTTTTTATATATATATATATAATTTCTGACATGGGCGATAGTTGTGGAGGACGATCAATGGAGAGGAAGCGTGTTGCCATATAGTTTCCAGATGTCCAAAACATGTATTAAACATGTAAGACATATTTACAACATGGTTGGAACATTTTCCGACATGGTAACACAGGTTAAATTCAATGATCGGACTGTTCGGGTGTCCATTGTCGTGGCATCCACAAGGCGTGAGATGTAAGCAACCGATTTGTGGGACTGTAAATGAATTGTGTAGCGTGCGGGGGGGGGTGGCGGCATGCGGCCGAGGGCGGACCTGTGAAGTAGGCAGCGTAGCAGGTGAACTAGTGAGACTGGTGCGGTACATTTTTGAAACCTCAACTGTGCAAGTGCGCGCGCACTCCGCGGCTTCTTTGGCGCGACAGGCGTCGTGATAGCGGGGCTGGCCGAGGCCGGCTGCGGCTGGCGCCCCCCCGCGGCGGTGGCCCCCCGCGCGCGCGTAGCGGCGCCATCGCTGGCGATCCACGGCAGATCGTGCAACGGCACAGAAAGGCGAGGCGAAACTTGCCGCGAGGGGCTCGGGTGCAACCGAGGAACCAAAAGCGCTCGGGATGTAGGCGTGCGGAGTTAGCAGCCGCAGTGCAGCAGTGGCGGCGGGCGTCGAGCGGCAGGGAAGCGGCCTCAAGACACGCACCTTCGACGGACCCGAGGCAGGAGTGGCCCTTCGTGATGGGGCCTTCCTCGGAGGGCAGACGCAGGTATCCCGGCGCCTGCTGAGGGTGGCTGAGGACTTCAGGAATGAACCTGCCAATTCGGCAATGCACATCCAGAACTCGCTGGATGACGAGGGCCCGCGGCAAATCATGACATGTTCCTCAGCTTGGCCGTGCCAGTGGAAGCTAGTGCTCATATGATCATTCGAGGAGTTGAACAACAGAAGGGTGCAGCAGCTTGGAGACCACTCTGCAAGAGGTACGAGCCTGCTTCGGCAGTTCGGGCCCGTAGCACCATGACGGGCATCCTGAACGTCAAGCAGTTCCACAATTCCCTAGCGGAGTTTGAAGAGGCCCACGCGGAGTGGGAACGCGACGTCTCGCAGTATGAGAGGGCTTCAGGTTACGTTTTCAAGGTGGGCGCGAATGAGAGAATCCACTTCCAAAAGGCGCCCGATAATATCGGGGCGATGCTCCTGATGGCAAGCAAGCGGACCTACGACGAGCATTTGGCGACCATCCAGTACCTACAGGCGGCGGCGACCTACGACGACGGGTGCCAGAGGTACCCGCTGTGGCCACCAAGACCTCCAAGGAACCCCAGCTGCATCTTCAAACCCCCCATAGTAAGCCCCACCAATGGCCCTACTGGACGCGGTGAACAGTCATCGCCATCGGTAGCATCGCCATCACTGGCATCATCATGAACGCCGTTGCGATCACCGTCTTCGTTGCCGCTGCCATCGACGTGACCCGGGCGCTGACTGGATGAACCCAGGAAAGACAGAACGGATTGCGCTTGTCCCCATCACCAATCTGCTTTTTTCTAATCGCGCAGCTGGGCGGAAAAGTTTTGGTCTTACAGTGCTCCACCTACTCCGCGTGCGGGCGCATTTTGCTAGATCTTTTATATGGTGTGGCGCGGAGTAGTTTTCGATTCGGTTTTTTGAGCTAGAAGGATGATAAACATCAGGTGGATCGGGAAGTACTCTGCCGAATGACGCCATCATCATGTTGTTGGGAATCTTTAAAGGGATGGGATCTATCTTCGCCGAAGCAGTTTGAAGACACTCTTTGTCACGGCTGTATAGGTGGTGCAGTCTTTATTGTGCAATCGCAAAAGGTGTATTGCAATTTTGGTTGTGCAACCTATGTGGTCCAACTTACGCGGTGCAACATATGTTGTGCAACCGATGTTGTGCAATCTGCGCGGGGCATTTCCCGTGGTTCAACATATTCGGCGCAACGTAGGTTGTGCAGTATATGTTCTGTAGCCTATGTGGGGCAACCTACGTGGTCCAATATATTGTGTACAATATGGGTGGACTAATCTACGTGGTGCAATCGATAATGTGAACTACATGTTTGCAGTATAGATCGGTAAGTACATGTGGCACATCATTTGGTCAATCAATGTATGTTGTGCAATATACGTTGGGCAACGTATTGTGTACAATAGACGTTGTGCAAACTATGTTGTCCATCTTACGTGTTGCAAGGCAGGTGGTGCAACGTCTGTCATGCAATCTGTGTTGTGCAGTATGTGGTGCCACATATTTGGCGAAAGTGATGTTGTGCAGTTCGTGTGGTGCAATCCATGTGGCGGCGGCGACGAGGCGGCGACGGCGGCCATAGCCGCTTCACCGCCATTCAGGTCCAGTTCGTTAGAAGAGAGATAAGAGTCACTGAATGCAAACATTGTTTGGGGAATACGGAAGAAAGGATAGAGGAAGAGGAGGGGGAGAAGGAAGAGGGGGAAAAGGAGGAAGGAGGAATTCTCCAGCCCGTCCTTCCTCCGTTCATTTTTCCTCTTCTCTTGGTCTCCTGCTGTCCTTCCGTTGCTCCTGACTTCCCCCGCGCCGAAATGCTTGACACTCCCTCCGCTCCACACCTTCTGAGCCTTCTTCCCCACGCGTCCTGGCCCTGTCAGAGGAGGAGGGCGAGCAGCATGTTGGGAGGGGAATGGAAAAGGATGGCTAGAAGGTGGACATGGCGAGATACGACCCCCGCATCCGCTTCCACTCCGCTGCCCATCCTCGTCGTTCTCACCATCGCCTTCCGGCTGTCCAGCCGCATCGTCTTTACCATCTGCCCGCTGTCCGTCCTTTGTCGGGTTCCTCCCGACTCGCCTCCCCTCCCCCGCCGTCCCTCCGATGTCCGTCTGCACCCTCGAAGGGAAGAGCTGACCACCTCTGGCATATTGCTGCCAGCGAGCTGCTCCTCTCAGCGTCAAGCGTCTGGCCTGCGACTCTTAGAATGGAGAGCTTGATGTGTGGTGCCGCGGAGATGCGTGACGCTCCTTTTACTGCTCCTTCTCTCTCCCATCTCCGTCTCGTTTTCCTTTCCCTCTCTCATTACTACCATTCCTCTCTTTCTCCTCCTCCTCCTCCTCCTCCTCCTCCTCATCTCTCTCTTTCTCTCGCTCTCGCTCTCTCTCTCTCTCTCCCTGGCTCGTTCTCTCCCCCTCTCTTTTTGTTGTTGTTTCTCTCTCTCTCTCTCTCCCTCTCTCTCTCTCTCCATCTTTCTCCTTCATTATATCAGAATTTATGTTTTACTCTTCTTATATTTTTACCCTCTTAGTCCCTTTCTTCTTCTCTTCTTCATACCCCTGTCTTCATCTCCTTGGATCATGTGTCTGCCCTCCCTCCCACCTTACCTCGTCCTCCCCCCCTTCTCTCCACCTCTTTCAGAATCTTCCTGCCTGTGTATATCCTTCCCCTCCCACTGATCGTTGGTTATCTGCTTTCTTGTTTCATTCTCTCACCCCACCAGCATGTCGCTCTATCCTTCCACCATTCCTCTACATGTCTTTTGTTCCAATATTCCTTTCTCCTTGACTTCCTCCATCATAATCGCCCTTTTCTCAGTTCCCATCTTTTGCCCTATCGTTGCCTTATCTCCTTCCCCCTTTGTCATTTCTGCCCATCTCCCCTTCGCTCCTTATGTCCTTTCTCTTTTTCTCACTGGTTCTGCCTGTACTCTTCATTATATGCCTCCCTCTTCCTTTCCGCCCTAGCCCCGTCATTCTTTCTCCTCGTCCTCCCTCTCTCCTCCTCTCCTGCTTGTCCCCTTCTTGCTCTGAGCAGAGAGAGGCGGGATAAGGTGCGACCCCCGCTGAGCAATGGGGGAAGGCGTAGGGAGGATGCGGGGGCAGTAGGGGATGCTGTCTTCTTCCTCGTCCTCCTGCTCTTCCTGCGACTGGTGCTCCATACAATGCATGCATACATTGCGTGTTTCGGAGGCATTCTGATTCAGATGTTAGACTTCGTTTCGAGTGGGACGGATATTTCGAGTGCTTCGGCCATTTGGCAATTCCCTCTCCCCCTCCCTCCTCTTCAAGAAAATGATTGAACGGCAGGCAGAGGGGTAATGAATTAGAGGGAGTGCAAAGAGAGATACGCTCAGCATGCGCATCACTCGAGAGACGGGCTTGCCAACAGGTGCCCCACGGAAGGCCCATTGCTCCCCGATGGCCAGGGGACCCACTGGGATCCTGCTGCGGCCTGCGAGGTGCAAGGCCGCCTCGAATCATCCTGGCGAAGGGCCCAACCATATGCAGGTGTGGACACCGCCGTTGTGAATATACTGCTTTCGGTGAATCGCCTCATGTGGCCTTGGTTCTGCCCGTGGGGCCGCGGGACGTGGGAAACATGTGAAGGGATGGGGTGAAGGGGGGGGGCACGTGCGAACGGTGGCGCTGTGACATTGGGTGGAGCTCCGTGTGGGGCCATGGACCGTGCGAGGGGAGCGCCGAAATCGGTGGGGGACCGCATTGCGCGCGTCGCCGCTGGCGCCTTCGGTGGAGCTCCCCACGGGGGCGCTAAACGTTTCCTCCCTCCTCCCTCCTCCCTCCTCCCTCCTCCCTCCTCCCTCCTCCCTCCTGCCTCCTCCCTCCTCCGAAATGGGTGGCGGGGGCGCATGGGGAGGGTGCAGCTTAAGCCGTCGGTGAAGCTCCTCGTGGGGCCACGAGGCGTGCGAGGGGTGTGCCGAAACGGGTGGCGGAGACGCATGCGGACGGCACCACGTGGGGCTTTGGGTGGAGCTCCCCACGTGGCCACGAAGCGTGTGAGGGGTGATTGTGGGGACGCATGTGGGCTGCACCATTTGGGTCTTGGTGGATCTCCCCAGGGGGCCACGAAACGGGTGCGGGGTATGCCGACATGGGTGGCGGGGGACGCATGCGAGTGGCACTATTTGGGCTTTGCGTGGAGCTCCCTATTGGGCCACGAAGCGTGTGCGGGGTGTGCCCATATGGGTAGCGGGGACGCATGCAGGCGGCAACATTTGGGACTTGGGTGGAGCTCCCAATGGGGCCACGAAACGTGTGAGGGTTGTGCCGACATGGGTGGCGGGGTCACGTGCGGGCGGCATTATTTTGGGCCTGGAGTGGAGCTCCCTATGGAGCCACGAAGCCTGCGAGGGGCATGCCGACATGGGTGGCAGGGTCGCATCCGGGCGGCACCATTTGGGCCTTGGGTGGAGCTCCCCATGAGGCTACGAAACGTGTGAAGGGTGTGCCGAAATGGGTGGCGAGGACGCATGCGGCCGGCACCATTTGGGTCTTGGGTGGAGCTCCCTATGGGGGCACGAAGCGTGTGAGGGGTGTGCCGAAATGAATGGCGGGGGCGGCACCATTTGGGCCTTGGGTGGAGCTCCCCATGGGGCCCCGAAACGTGTGAAGGGTGTGCCGAAATGGGTGGCGGGGACGCATGCGGGCGGCACCATTCGTGTCTTGGGTGGGGCTCCCTGTTGGGCCACGAAGCGTGGCAGGTGGCAGGGGCGTGCCGACATGGGTGGCGGGGACGCATGCGGGCGGCACCACGTGGGGCCGTGGGTGGAGCTCCCATGGGGCCACGAAGCGTGTGAGGGGTGTGCTGATATGGGTGGCGGGGGCGCATGCGGGCGGCATTTTTTTTGGTCTTGGGTAGAGCTCCCAATGGGGCCACGAAACGTGTGAGGGTTGTGCCGACATGGGTGGCGGGGTCCCATGCGGGCGGCATTATTGGGGGCGTTGGGTGGAGCTCCCTATGAGACCACGAAGCCGGTGAGGGGTGTGCCGACGTGGGTGGCGGGGTCATATGCGGGCGGCATTATTTTGGGCCTTGGGTGGAGCTCCTTATTGGGCCACGAAGTGTGTGAGGGGTGTGCCGAAACAGAGACATGCGGATGGCAGAGGCATGGATGGGGGGAGGGAGGAGGGAGGAGGGGGAGAAGGAGGAGGAGAAGAGGAGCGGAGAGGAGGAAGGAACGCGGGCCGCATTCTCCCCCAAACGAGGACCCAACACCACATCATGGTTGGGAAAAGCGTAGTATACGTTACGCAGCGAGTGCTATCGTCGTACGCATGTGTGGGAGGGCAGGGCATGGGCATGACATGCTGTGGCTACCGCTGATCCAGTCATCAGAATCGGGCCGGCTCTCACGCCACTTCTCTTGTGGGCCTGAGTTCCTTCGCTTTTGCGACTGCTGGCCACGCATGCTTACCGAGCCTATTGCTGGTTTATCGGCGTTCTGGCGCGCCATCATGCCCGTAATTGCGCGTCGTACCGCGCTTTGGTCCGCCAGACTGCGCGACAGTCCTGTCGCTTGTCAATGTTCCGCCACTTGCCGCGCGCAGTTTTTTTGTTCAAGGGGTCAGTTGTCTTACGTGTGGACCCGCCACCGGGAACTTGTTCAGCAGCCATGGTGAATATCAAGGCCTGTCCCTGTGCCAAGAAGTCGGGTGCTGGAAGAGAATGATCGGGGATAGTGGGAGGGAGGAGGACTCTAGTTGCCTCAAGGGCCTCGGCTCCTCAACCATTGCCCCATGGTTAAAGTTTGTACCAGATACGCGAAATGGAGACACCCTGTTGTCTGGTACTATCATAACTGGCAGGGCAGCCGTGTGGTATCAGATCGTTAGGTAGTTTTGCATTTCCTCGGCTCAGCTCAGGCTTCAGTGCGCACTCGATGTCGCAACGGGGCGGTGGTGTCAGTCTGGCGGCTATGTAGCCGCCATCGCCGCCCCGTCGCCGTCTCGTCGCCGTCTCGTCGCCTCGTCGCACCCGTTCGTCTTGGCACTGTATTGCAATCGCATTGCATTGCGATCGCACGGCTTTGCACTGCATTACATTGATTTGCTTTAATATGCATTGTTTCGTATTGTTTTGCACTGGTGCGCATTACTCTGCTATGCTTCAAGTTCTTTGCATTGCATTCCATTGATTTGTGTTGCTTTCTTTGCGTTGCGTTGCACGGCGTTCCAGTGATTTGCCTTGCATTGCATTGCTTTGCCTTGTTTTGCATGACTTTGCGATGCATTGCTTGGCATGGTTTTGCACTGCTTTGCACTGCTTCTCACTGCTATGCAGCTCTCTGCCTTGCCTTGCCCTGCTTGGCATGGTGTTGTATTGCTTTGCGTTGATTTGCACTGCTTTGCAATGCTTTGTGTTGCTTGTCATGGTGTCGCATTACATAGCGTTGCGTTACTTTGCGTTTCTTTGCATTGCTTTGCGTTGCGTTGCGTGGCTTTACACATTTCTTTGCCTCTTTTGTATCGCTTTGCATTGCCCTGCTTGGCTTTGCATGCCGTTGCATTGCTTTGCATTGCTTTGCACTGTTCTGCGTTGTATTGCATCGCATTGCGTTGCACTGCTTTCAATTGAATTTCATTGCGTTGCATTGCGTTGTATGGCTTAGCATTGCATTGCGCCACATATATTGGACTACATGGGTTGCACCACCTAGATTGCACTTCATTGATGACACCGCCTAGATTGCGTTGCGCAGATTGCAAGGGATCGCTGTTTGGGGGTCACGTTGGCTAACATTATCTACTGCATGAAACTTGCAAAGTCGTGCTTCCATACATCTTCCTATCCGCACCAGTATACATACTCCGCCAGTGATGCGATCGCTCTCAATCACTTGCTCCCCGATCTTCTCCTCGGCAGGCCCTTCTCGATTATTGATTTACCTGCCCAACGGCTATGTATTCGGCTCGCTCTTGTGCTCACACATTTGCATGGACCGGTTTGCTTCTTAGCGCGGTTGTCAGCTGGTGGTCAGCATTTCTTTGTTTGCCTTTTCTCTCACCACCCATCAAACCACCCCAACCCAACCCGAAGGGTCAGATTTACCCTCGATTTCTAGTGGGGGGGGTCCGGGAACATCGAAAAACACGTATGGAGCCCATACCCCCCCCAACCCGAAATTCGGGTCTTC